ATCATCAGTTCTACATGTGCAGAATTATTCATTGGTTTCTGTTAGAACTTGTTGCATCAAAGGAAAATAGAGATTAGCAGCTTCGCTCTAAAATACTAAAATATATAATAATAAAGTCACAATCTATACCATAAAAAATAAATATATAAAACCTTTATGTAGACACAGTAGTAAACATTGAAGTACACATTGCAAACACGAAGCATTGTTACAAATTGAGTTTTCAATCTTTTGACTATGATACCTAATCAGCCTTCTCTCAATAAATTCACATTTTATACCACTTTTCTTACTCCAAGATCCAGAGTCATTGTGCTGCATGGGGATTTTTTTTCTCCTCTCACTGGCTTGAATTTACATGTTTTCACCTTGCTGAGTTAAGTAAGAATATAAATCCAGTAGAAACAAAGCCCTTGGAGAACGCTCAACAAACTAATTACCCCTTTTTCTGCAAATACAAGTTTGTATGAGTAATCTGCTGACACTGTACATCGCAGCCCTTCAGAAGTTAATACAGTGAAAGATTAAATTGACTGGAGGCTGGGAGGTTTATTAAAATCCTGCGACACTACCTACACAAATATGTTTGCTATTTTACGAGGCTTACAAGTAATCTGACAAAAGGTTTATCGTGAATAAACATGAATGTGTGTACTCTGCAGTGTACTCATAGTTGCTGAGTCATTTTTCTTCTCGGTACAAGTCGAAACTCAGAGCAAAGATTTAGGATCAAACCTTAAATCCAAAAATATCTGCATCAGGAGGTCAACACCTCATTAGGACAGAATATACCGTCGCGTCTCACATTGTTGATCTTGAGCTTGCTCTTGGTCTTGTCCTGTTTCTGTAGGTGTCCGGACAGCTGGTAGAGGACAGCGCGACTGCGGCGGCGCTCCATGCTGAAGCCTGGAGGGCGGCTGACCTGGCGGATCTCGAGGCCCGTCTCCACATCTGAAAACGACAACACACAAGAATCAGAGATACGTGGAGTAGACACATGGAATAAATCTCGAAACTACAGACAAGAACAAAATTAGAGACCATATGAGGACGACTGCTTTGACCACAGGTGTGATGGCTCCAAGTTAACTTCCAGTGTTGATACTTGAATGAACTGTGCAGAAAGTAAGTAACAATCGCACTGAACAAAAACACTTCTTCTGGGTTTAAATGAGGCTCTGGAGTCTAATGCTACCATGTGTTCTACAATCAGGTTTGTCCTACGGTTTAATTTTCACATTCGTGTCTCACTTTATGTTGTTGCTGATGCTTACAGCTGCAAAAATCCGAACCTAATCCAAATTGATTGGGCCAAACAACACATTACACGGCCTGTATGTAATGAAAGCATTAGGTTGTTGAAGCCGTAGTGTATATTTACTGCTCCTGTGGATCATGTTAACACAGTGAAAGTACTATGAGCTTTGAAAACGTCAAATCAGTAGAAGACGTGTTCATGAGACCCTAATATCACCTTGATTTGAAAAACAAGCATCTGATGATGTACTCATTCATAATTTATGTGTCCACTAGGCCCATGTTAACCTCAAATATTTTCACAACAAAGTTTTGCATAAGAAAGTTAAGTTACAGTCAAACAAGAACTGCACATTTTATGGAAAGCAAGCAGGGCGCTTGGAGAGCTCACACCTACGCTAATGCTAATCTATTACACTGTGTATATTCTGCTCTATTTCCCTCTATTGGATCTTTTTCATGTGAGCTATTGTGGAATTCTCGTTTTTGTCCTCTTTCACACTTTCTCTCACCAGTGTCAGACTCGATGCCATGGTCCTGGTCCTGGTCCTTGTTTTCGGTGATGTCTTTGTGTGAGACCAGGAACAGAACCACCTCGCTCTTCTCGTTCTTTATGGGCACGATGTCCAGCAGACACCAGAACTTGGAGCCTGCTCAGAGAAGAGAGATGAGAATATTCCAGCCTAAAGAGAAATAACCTTGAATTCCACAAGGGAGATAATGTCTTTTTTTTTGTCTGACTCCACCAGCAGTATTGAACGTGATTTAAATTGACAATATCCTCCAGCACATCAGCCTCACCGCTCTTCTTGTATAGAACAATCTCGGTCTTGAACTCTCGCCGCTCGTCCAGAGCTTTCTGCATCTGCGGGGTGAGGCAGTCGCTGGTCTCGCTGCCATACAGGAAGTGACACATGCAGCTCTTCTGCATCAGCTCACCGCGGGCGAAGCCAGTCAGTTCACAGAAACCGTCGGAGCAGTAGACGATGGGATAGAGGGACTGGACCTGGGCGTTTCCCAGCACGAAGTTACTGTCTGAGGGGAGGAAAGATGGGAAAGTAGTAGAGCAGAAGACACAGAAGAGGGAATCAGAGACACAGAAGCGTTGTTAATGAAGCTGGGGAACAGTTAGACGACCACAGGCATCAAAGCAGGAGCTCAGGAGAACCATTAAGGTTTCTACAGATACATGAAAAAACTGTTTAATCTCATCTGCAAGAAATATCCATTTTAAGTGATGCCTGTTTTGTACTTTTTTGTACGATTGTACTCTAGTATTTCCAATCCTTTTCTTTGATTATCATTTTTATGGAAAATATGATAACATGTTCTGTTATTGGCTAAATCGATACATATTAATATCATAGACTGTTTACAAAGATGGAAACAGACTCCAGGTCTGGAGAGTGGATTCAATGTGGAAGTGCCTGAACCTTTATTCTCTCTTCTAGTTTGCAGCTGTGATGCAATCGGTCTTCAAATGCAGCTTCCTTAGGCGGCGGCCCCTGAATTAAGACACAGCCAATGACCCACCTTTTCTCACTTGATTTTTAATGTCAGTAAACATTTTCCTCAGGAAATGTTTACTGACATCTGCTCTCGATCTCTAGTTTCAAGTCTTTTCAGTACAGCATGATGTTGAATTTGTAAATTATCGTCCCATTATGGTGGATATCTTGTGATTCAAGTACCTTCCAAATATGGTTTGCTTCTGATTTCAATGAAAAGATTGTGCTGAACAAAACTTGAGGCGTGGGTTAATTTCTAATCATTCACAATCAAAACTCTGCTGACAGGAAGCCTCACTGTTGTGCGCTGTGCCTTCAAGGTCTGCAGACGGTTTTGTTGCACTTGTCCCTTCACACTTTCCTCAACTGCAGGGTCAGAATCTACAATTTCACAAAGGTGTCATGTTAAATCAAAGACAATTAGATTAAAAGTTCATGCACGCCATTCACTCTAACTGTCTGCTCACTTTAAGGAGCGCACCACGGGGGAGTTTTTACATACCTGCTGCTTTTCAATGAACTTTACATCATCGCCTTTAACTCTGTCTACCGCCCATTTGTCCGCTGCGTCTCCCCTGCCTCTCTCTCTCTCTCTGCCTCTATGTTCTTTACAATGTTTCAAGAAGCTGCTTTATCACACATTGTATGAAATTGAGCTGCACAAGTAAACCTTACTACAGAGGGCCAACGTCCCAGATTTTAATTATAAAAGTAATTTCTGTATTTTCACAGCCTAGGGCAATTTGCATTAGTTAAAAAAAAAATGTCAGTGCAGCATAGAAAAAAATACAACCACTAAGCTACTGATTATATCACTGTGGGAATTTAGGATTTTCATTATTTTTAACTGCTCATAAGCTGTATACCTGATATACACATGTATCTGCCCCTCAAAGCAACACAATGCTGCGTCTTCTTTGTGTTCAGGCATGAAGCCACACAATGATGGAATGTGATGTATTTATGACCAGTGCATTAGTCGGCCAGCCGGTCTCACACATGACAGCCATACTAAGTGGTGCAGCCCCACACACTGTAAAAAAATCACATTTTGATTCACTCCTCAAGGACTTTTTTTGCTTTCTGTGGACAGCGATGCTTTAAGTGCTCAAGAAATCCAATTTAAAAACACCATGTGGATTGCAGAGTGTTTTGCTTTGTATGAGAAATGGCACTCTCCTCTGTTGTTTTCAGCCTTCTTATCTTATTCTAATAGGGGGCAACAAAGTCAGGAATCTTTCAAATCACTTAGTGATGATCTCAGACTGTCTCTACAGACGAAGAGTGATCTGCTATCGTATGATTTGCATTCACTTATGAGACAGGAATTGATGATATAAATTCATACCGCTGGAATTTGTTTTGTTCACTTTTTATTATAGTCAGAGGCCCGAAAGCACAAGTCGTCTCTATGACACCACAGGCCTGTTTAATGAAGTCGAAGCTGGTGCTGTGTATACAATATATAAGAAATACAAAAAAAGTGGGTGAGATATTAACCAATAATATTTCAAACTGAAATATAAAACACAAAAACAAGCATGTTCGTCGGTTGCAAGGCTGCTTCTCCAGCAGCTAACAAATGGTTTGATGGCGTCAGTTATGGGCACAATCTTGAATAATTAATGATGAAAGTGAGTTAGGTATGAAAGGAGACTCACACAGTCGAGACGTTCATTCTGCTGAGATCATTAAAGTCCAAACTTAAATGACTCCGCAAGACCGGAGCACTCAATTTGAAGAATGAGAGCAATATAAGACGAGAGAGCCGGCACGCAAATATTGAAAGAGAAGGATGGACAGAGTGAGAGACGGATGAATAAGTAAAGACACAGAGAGAGTGCGATTGCATGAAGATGAACTGGGGACAATGAAATTGAATAATATGTGTATTAATAAAGCATGTCCAGAGTAAAAGCTCATTCCAAAGAAAATAAAACTGTCATTTGGTGCAGGAGGCTCAGTGGAATTCACATGTTTCATCTGAGGCAGCAGAAAACAAGCTATGGATCAAATAATAACTGAGAAAACCAAAAAAGCTATAAGTAAGTTTTCTTGCTGCTGAATGATGAAATAGTGGTTTCACTGAGCCAAATCTCAGAAGACTTAAAAAAAGGGAAGGAAGAGGTGGATTTTCGTAAACAGTATGAATGTCCTCTCGTATGTTACTGTTGAAGATGTCACTGCAAGCATGGACATGGCTCTCCACAAGGTTTCAGGCCTCTGCCGAGCTCTTGGATAAGATCGAGGCGGTCGGGGCTCTGTGCATCTCAGTTAGCTCCTTCCACACATAACTGGGAAAACCAGAGAGGCTTGTTTGTTTCACTAAGTCAGATACTGTGGTGGTGCAACTTAATGGAACCATCGTAAACAAAAACAATTACATTTCTATTCAGCCTTTCTCATTAAAATATATCGTGTGTAACCTTGAGGCTCAAACAAATGCGATGAATGCATTTTCATCCTCATTGAACTGTGCAGGAATGTGTATTCATGCAGGTGCATCACATATGTGTCCACTTAAACTCAAATAGTTTTACTGATCGGGGAAACATGGTGAGCAAATGCATTAATAATTATAATGTAAATGTCGGAAGCACAAAACCACATGATTATTAAGCAGTGTTGCACATTTAACTGCATGAAAATATTTGGGATGGAGCAGCAAAGAGTCACATCTTAAGCATTTTGTGAGTGTGCATCGTGATCAGACCCTTACTCACATGAACATTCTCCCCCTAAGACATGATGGGGGCTTGAACCCTATATTTTACCATACCTGATGCACATACAATACCAGTATATGTATTTATGTATAAGTATATATGAGTATATGTGAGTATAAGATACAATAGATATTAATATTTACGTACTATCAGACTCTCGAATCACAAGACTCGGAGATCACTCACAGCGTGAATGACCACAAATCAATTCTGCGTCTGAGTAACTCCTTACTCCTGTGTAATGGCACAAAATGGACGGTGGAATGAAAAATTGGAATAACGCAGTTTATGAAGGAATGAAGATTGACAGACTTTACAAAATAATGTGAAACTGAATGTTGGATTGGATTGTTATACCTGGTAAAATAATTATAATCATAATTCAGTTCTGATGGATTCATCATGTTCAGAAAAGAGTTGAAAACGCACCTCCTGCATGATTATTGCATCTAACTAAAAGTTTGGAGCATCTGCCCTTGAGCCGGTCATAAAGGCGGAATAATGTATTCATAAATATGTGAATTTCATCTTAACATAATTTTATTGCTGAAGTTGGTGCTGATAAAATATTGATGACTTTCTTACATGAGGTGTAGCTGCTCTGTTGCTCTTCTGCTACCAGAAAAAAAACTAACTCAGGATCCATCCACAGAAAATCCAATTTATCAATTTTCTCTGGTAATGAGATGACATCCTGAACAATCAATCAGTTAATAAATGATAAATAATTCTTAGTTTCAGCTGCTAAACATCACCAATATGTGATTTTGATAAATGATTAGAAGGCTCTGACTGTATATAAAGATGGACGACGTGTCTCCACTTCCTCCCACTATCCAGAAATGAAGCTAAAATACCCCATATAGAATATCTTAGCATTTGAAGCCAGAGTCTGTGCAGTAGTGAGCATGGAGCAGGCAGGTTTATGAACTGTATTAGACTCTTTATATACAGTCTAATACAGGAACTGCATGGATTTAAGGATTATTACCCAGAATTATGGCACAAAACAGGAAGTAAAAAGGTAAGAAACCTTTATCAGAGCATTATAGAAACCAAGCACATACAGAGCAGCTTCCCACAAGAGGGGGAGAGATTGAGATATCTCTGGGTTACAAGGGGCTGAAGCTCTCTACTGAAATGTAAGTAGAGAAAAAGAGAAAGAGAGAAATTCCCTGGAGTCTCCGTGGTTAACGTGCCGCATTAATGATGTATGGAAAAGATGGAAGATCCCAGCTTCTGACCTGAAAATCCTGTTCTGCTCAGCTGGCTTTGAGAACCCACTATCACTCACAATGAACATGCCCCGCAGTGTTTTTCCTGACATTGCTTCAAGTCATGAGCGTGGTGATGTGCTGTATCATGGCCTCACATATTCTTTCTCTGCCCATGTTATTTGTGTGGTGTGTTTTATTGAAGGCCTCCAAAACTCCCGTCATCTTCTCTGAACCAACACTAACTAACGCTGTGTTCAACTCCTGCTTCTCAATGCTTCCCTGCCAGCGCCCCATAGACAGCTGCGTAGAGTCATACCGTTGTTTGGTCCGAGAAGCACCTCATTAAAATGCCCCGACTGTGTTTTTAACCATGGGCCTGCCAGAGGTTAGGAACAAGAGTGTAATCATGAATGAAGTGCTCAACGTGAGCATCGGTCCAGACTACATTTCCTCACACAAGGTTGTCCAAGTGTGAGGAACTGCTGCTCACCACACGCGCACCCTTTGTCTTTTTATATCCAGAAAAAGTTTGAGATTATGAGTAATACTTAAGAGAAACTCAGCGATGATGGTGTTGGAAGCTCCTGGAAAGACTTCGAACAGCTAAACGTTTAGTGTGCGGGGAATAGGGGACTCCCTGACCGAGGCTGATGTGTTGGCAAAGTCTGGAAACCTTTAACTCTGGGTGGCTCAGGTTCAAAGCCTCTTTTCTGGGGCTGCTCAGAGGAGGGTCATCAGTTCCTGCTGTGACGCAGGCTGAGAACTAAATGAAGCTGGTTTGATCAGCCCAGGGAACTCATGAATCAGTGGACAGGTATCAGGATGAAGAGAGGGGAGGTTGAGGAGACCATGACGACAGACTTTGTTGTCAAAGTGGTTCTTCCATGCTGTCATACCACTAGAGAGGAAGACGGATTCAGACCTGTCGGGGATTAATGCATAAGGTCCAGTTAAAAGAGGATTTTTCATAGTTTCCTTTTGAATTCCTCGTCTTCACCAACAGTCTTTCCTATCTCCCTCCAACATCATTTCTGGTGCACGCCGCTGAGCGCAAGGACAGGAACAGCCAGCATGAACTGAGCTTAAGACCCTGGAAGCACAGATGCTGTTGTTTTTACCTTAATTGACTGACCTTTAGTTTCTTTTTCCTGAGCCGTTCCAGCTATGTGAAAAGGTTTTATGTGCCTGTAAGCTGGCAAAAGGACACTGTGATTCACATTTGTAAAAAAAGAGCTCTCCAATACTCAGGGTTTTATTCATCTGAGCCATCTGGAGAAAACTCAAAGAGGACCGTGCAGTGCATGCTCTCTGGACCAACGCTACTTGGGTTATTATATGGGAGGGGGTGTCATGGGAGGAGTATATGGTGAGGGAGCCATTCCCCAGGGAGAGCCTTCTGATCCCTGTATAATCAGAGCCGGAGCTGAGCTTGCACAAAGTGGAAATCAAGCATCATCTGAGGATGTTGGTCTCTTGCAAGGCCTCTCTGACACAGTTTGTAGGAACAACCCAGGAGTGGACACTTTTGTACATGCAGATAAATCAATAATATAGATCTTAGGTAAGTCTGGGTTTATGTTTAGTTCATGTAGCAGGTGGAGAACTCCTCATATCAGGATGAAGTGAGTAAAGTCTCTGCTCAGCCTAGAAAGCCCTTAAGGATCTCAATCTGCCGGCCTGAACACTGGGGCTGCCGGGCAACTGCAGGAAGTGATCAGAACCACTTCCATTAGAGGAGAACTGATTGCTGTTGACACATATAGAGAAAAAAAGAATCCTAATTGAATCAGTGCTACCTCATATAGCTTTGTCTTCAGGGGAAAAACAAAATGTCACATACCTACAGATGGCACAATATTATCACATGACTGATCATTCCTCTGAACACACTGCAGCAGGAATCCAACTACGACCTGCACACATTTATTTATTTACTGCTGTGTTTCAGGAAATAGACAGATTCCACTTGCCCTTCATCCACACATCTGCTGCCCGGTCCTGCCTGTGAGTGTGTGCCTTCAGAACTGTGTTATGTAACCGTGCTAAGCTTTAACAACTGCAGTTTGCACATTGATCGACAGTGATTTTCCAAATGCGCAGAATGATTTGAAGGGTTCTGCAATGACTTCTGGGCCAAAACAGGTGAATGATATCCATACGTTAGAGTAAGAGTCTGTTAAACAATGTGACTTCTTCATCTTCAGAGAACCGTGCATAGGTTTAGATCAATATCTGATCAGAGTTCAGGTTCCACCTTCACTTTATGAATCGCTTTGTGTTACATGCGGTTGCTGATGTAATGGTTTGAAATGTTTTAGTCATACAGAGCTGGTTTTTAAATCTGATTTGTTTATTGTGCAAAGGAGGCTCCTAGAAAACACCAGGTCCCTTAAAGCTCCAGCTTTAGTGTTTTAACTGGTTTTAATTGAAAATTTGAGGCCTGGTCTTTGAGAGTCAAAATCAAAGTTGGCTTTTATGCTCATATTTGGCAGATTCCCAAATTCATGCATATAATCACGTTACCACAGCAAATCAAGGAAGAGTGGGGAGAAGTTGGGGTTAACAGGGGCTCAGCAGCTCTTAATTTTTCGCCTCGGGTTCACCTGACAGGTTAATCCACACCCGTGACTGGTGTGTGAAGTATATCTCTAATTGAATCTGCTGCAAACTGAATCCACATCCAATCGGAGCGCAACGTTTTAAAATTGATGGACAGATCTCGGTTGCAAAGCTGCAGCTCAAAGCCTGATTTGAATGGTAATTATTACGCTGCATTAATTCACACTGTACATTATAGCAGCTGAGAATATTATCTCAATAGACACAGACAGGAAAACACATCTTTGCCTCCAATTTCTTAAAAATCTGTATTTGGTCCTAAATGAGACGTCTGTTATATTAAATCTATTGCTTTACTGTAATAAATCTATAATGTTGTATGAATCGAAATAACTTGATTGACTTTACACCATCTGTATTTTTGTGCATGCAGTGACAGTAGGAGCCCATGCATCACATCAGGCTCTGTAGTGGCCACTAGACTTAAGGTGCTTCATGATTCCTTACGTTAGGGAGCCTGCTTTCATTCATCACCATTCATTCAGAAGTCAAAGTATCAGTGCGCCAGTGGCAGGTCCGTCTCTCATGTGCCCTCAATCCTTATTAAGCTCTTTGTAGGTCATTGGATTAGGACTTTCAGAGTTTAAACTAATCAACGCATCCATTCATGTGCCCCAAAACATTCAGGGATTAGGGTAAACTCGCAGATAAGAAATGCACTCACGGGTCCCATCGAAACGTGTCGCGATGGTGTCCAAGAAGGTGTTCTGAGGCGCGATGAGACCCCGCATCACGGGCATCCGGGAGCGGGTCGAGCCGCGTCTCTCCCGGCGCTCCGTGCCATTGCTCTCGGCGGGGGCTGTCACAAAGCCCGGCAGAAAGCGGGACGTGGTCCCCGGCGCTCCCCCTAACCCCTGGAGGAGGGCGCCGAGCCGAGACACCCGGGACTCCACGGTCCAAAAAAAGTGACCACCGAGCAGGTGATCCCGGCGAAGAGGAGGAGAGAGGAGCCGCTGGAGGCTGCAGGGGCGAGGACGCGGGGACGGAGGGATGGAGTGGACCCACGGCGAGGATGGTCACATTTACGCACGGGTGTACTGCGATGCAATCTCTCTCTCCTCCTCCCCTTCCCTCTCTTCCTCCCTCACTTTTTCTCTACAAACAACCCCCCCCCCACTTCTTCAGCAGAATATAACCAAAACAAGCTCCCCCCCAACCTGCTCTCCATTTCTTTAACATTCCATCAGTGTCTCTTCACCTCTCAGCCTTTTGATGGTGTGATGGATGCCTCTTAAAAGCAGGGGAAGGGGAGGTGTTTCATTTTCTTTATTAAGGGTAATGCTGATGAATTCATTTAGTATTTTCAGCAGTGTCTGTCTGCCACGTTTCACACATTGAAGCTGCACAATTTGTCACAAAAAAGATGGAAACATCAGCCAATTGTGCAACTGAATATGGTGATGAATACCATATGTAATACATTCAATATTGTGGAATACAAAAGCCACCTGTGCCACGGGGGAAATGTACTCGTCTATTTTTTTCTGAGGGATGCAAGACAAATAATATGATGGGCAAATTGGTTCAGACAGGTTTTGTGGAGTTTCTTGTTCCTGTTTGTGCACTGGTTTCTCATGGGTGCTTCTTGCATCATCCAAAACGTGCAGCCTATAGTTACCTGTGGGTGCAATTGTGAGTCTGCATGACAGGCTGTCAGTTTCCTCTTAAAGACTTGCTTTCTGTCTTCAATCAGATAGTGCACACTCTTTAGTCGATAGATTACTTCCTGTTTGTGGCATCTTAACTCCATCTTATCAAGGTATTTTGTTATCAACTTGTACATTCACTTCTTGAAAACATACATTTTCCCGTGTCAATAGGAAAAAAACAACAGACACACATTTCTAAAACCAATAATTAAACTGAGTGTCCTATTTGAAAGGAGCCAAACAATTCCATTTTCCAAAGCTTGACTTCCTACATATAAGTGAAGTTCAAGTTTTGGCTGTTTTTTCTTTTACTGTCCTAAATTTTAATTTGGCCACAAGAACAAATCAATTTAATCCCGACATATGCAAAATGGTGCATGTATTCACCTGTGCATGATCACCACTTAAACCGGGCACCACTTAAAAAGAGCAAAGAGCAACTGCCTGCAGACAACACTAAACTAAGCTGTTCCACTTGTCACGTCCGTGGATATGCTGCAAAATACAAAGAAAGATGCAGGAGGAGGTGGTGCAGCGTCACCTGGAGCCAAGAGGCACCTCAAACTCAAACCAATTGTTGCACTATGGTTTTGATTTTAAAAGAATAAACTATGATTGTGATTCAGTAAAGTGCAGGCCATGAGTGGTATTAGTAAAGAAATACCGCCATCTACTGGACATGAAACGATATTGCAACAAATTCAGATTCAGTAATTATATAACACGCTTACTGAATTACAGAACAAACACACACACACACACACAGAGATACATACATTAACTAGTGAAGCACTTTGCAAACTCTTTTTATAGTGATATATGAATATATTATCATTATTTTGTCTCTAACCTTATTTCTTTGCTGAAAGTAAACTTTTAAAAGTTGACATTGAGAGGTGCAATAAAATAATATAACTCAGTACTTACTGCATGACACTAACCTCTTGGAACTGCGTCTCTGATCTGATGTCAGTGGCGATGACAGCGATGCTGCTGGTGATGATGAAGATGAAGACTCCCAAAGTCCCATGTAAAGCTTAAAAACACAGCACTTCCTCCTTCCCCCACACAGGAACATGTGTTTGTTGTTGTGAGAGTTTACTTTGTCCAGTTCTTGCAGCAGCAACACGTTCAAAACAAATTAGCCTTCAGGTTATCTAGCTAAAGTTTTCTTCTTTGGCACCAAACTCCCCCGAGTAGCGTTACATTTCTTCAGAAAACATTTCTCCCTGAAACTCATTCACTTTGTCGCGTTTTTCAGCTGGAAAATATCGCCGGAGTTTGACGCATTTTCGCTGATTTCGCCCAGAAAACGCGACATTAGCTATTTTCTGACGTTGACAGGCGCCATATTGCTTACGTAAGAGCTAAGCGCCTGTTGCGTTCAGGTCGGGTTCAAGTTAATCCTGAGAGTGACGTCTAAAGCGAAGCGACCACCCAGAAAAACGTGTATATTGTATTTTTACTTTTTGATTTCCAGATCAGTACAATACATGTTTGTTCAGATTTTGTACACAAATGTTTGTGTAACCTCGACTGTGACAAATTCAATAAATCAAAAAAGCCAGAAGGAAACATTCTTTTATTATTAGTTTTTTCAAATTAATTAATTAATTTTTCATTATTAGTTTAACACACATATTGAACTAACAGATCCTTCAATCATTTATTTTGCAGTTCAAAAAACTACTAGTAGGTGTCACTGCAGGACCAGTCACAGCTTCAAGCATGAGAGTGATGTCATGCAGTGAAGTTTATTTTATTTCATTAAGACAATAGATCAGGTAGACAAAAACACACTATTATATGACATATATATTAATCCCATGAAGAAGGACCCATTTTAGATATATTTTACATTACTGGATTGTACGTAAGAATGAATGTGTGTCATAAATAAGATTTACATAAATAAAATAAGATAAAGTATAGAAGTTTTTTGTTTTAAATATCCGAATTGGCAAAGTAACTAGAAAGTGCAAAATAGATGTAGGGGAGTAAAAGTATTTCTTTAAGTGAAAGTGAAAGTACTTTACATCACTTGAATTAGTTACATTCCTCCACTGGTTAATGCAAAAATATAAAGGCACGCATGTGATTTAATGTGTATTATGCCCGTGATTATTAGTAGTAGTATTTGTAGCAGTAGTATGAATCCTGTATTTGTGATAGCCGTGAAGGCATCATCCTGCAGCCTGTGTGAGGCTGTTTAAAAAAAAGCTGCATTTTCCCACTCTGTGCTGTAATTAAACACACCAGCGGGCACGTGAGCGCTGCGTTAAACCAATTGAACCCGGGCGCGCGCATCGTAGCAGTGGGGCACGCGCGTGAGCATCTGGCGCGCGTCTCCGCTCCTCACATCACCGCCGCGATCCATCCCGCCGCGCTCGCGTCCGGGACGGACGGTGTCTCGCGCGCCGCCGCCGCTCCTCGTCTCCATCCGTCGGCCGAAGAACAAACACAACAATGGCAGCTGCTGCCGCGTAGCTCCGGCTGTGCTGCAGGAGACCGCGTCCGTTTTTGGGGGGGGGTTAATTTCCCGGGGAAGATGGCGACGGGGGCGGCGGGATGGCAGCCCCCGTACAGCACCTCCACCTCCGGCAGCAGCACCAAATACACCCCCTCTCCCACCTCCAGCATGTTTTACGACGGGAGCCTGACGCTGGAATATACTCAAGACCTGCATCTGAAGATGAGCAAGAAGATAGCGCAGCTCACCAAGGTGCGTGCATGTGGAAGGAGGGTGTAGTGGGGTGTGTGTGTGTGTGTGTGTGTGTGTGTGTGTGTGTGTGTGTGTGTGTGTGTGTGTGTGTGTGTGTGTGTGTGCATGGAGTCCTGGTCAGAGGACACTGATGTGGGATCGTATGTAAACATGCTGATGAGGAAAGGATGGAGCTGCTGGGGTTCTACCCTCCTGCAGATCTCCATGTTTGGTGCTGATGCTGTGTGATGATGTTTCACAGTTGTTCATCCCTGCAGGCTGCACAGGTCAGAGTTTCCCCCTGAGACTCAGAGGTTTCCCCCTGAGACTCAGAGGTTGGGGTCGTTATTTCTCAGCAGTTTTTAAGGACTTGCCCAGCAGGAGTTGTGATCCACGGTGGCCCTCGGGTGCGAAACACGACGAGAAATGAGAATGTTCTACAGGAACCAAGAAAACTCCAAAAATAATAACTTGTCTTACAGGACAATTCAACAGCGAATAAGGAAAAGCTACGGCAAAAGCACCGACTACTGCATAGATGAAAACACAATTGGAAATCAGAAAACAAATAAGATAGCATGACAGCGAATAAGAAAAATACAACTGTAAATAACAAAAATAAACTTGATAAGGCCGGAACAAAAACACAACAATGAATAAGGAAACACCACAGTCGTGTTTCCTAATTGTCCTTTGTGATTGGCCCCTCAGGGCCACCGTAGTCTCCTCCTGTGATCTTCCTCCCTTCTACAGGTTTCTCCTCTTCCAGTGCAGAGCTGTGACTGTGCTGGATTTCGAGGCACCCATAGCTGAGATCTCTCCAAACGCCTGGAGGAATGTGTTGCTGTGAATTCACCCTCAGCAACACCACTCTTAAACCTGTGTGTGTGTGTTTGTTTCTGCCCTGCCAGGGCTGCCACGCCACCCAGGGGCTGAGGGAAGTTATGTAACGTCAGAGGGATGCAGGGGCTCGGCTGCTTCTCTGTAGTCCACCCGAAACCTCTGGAGCGTGCGGTCGTGTGGTAGCTGGAGATTTCAGGCGGCAGCTACGTGTTTAGCTTTTGTCTTCCAGTGTAAAGGTGGATAAAACGTAAATAAAGCAGCTTATACGAGCATGCTTGTGCTTGTGTGGGGGGGGGGCGCAGACAAAGACAGGAGGAGAGGGCAGGAGATTTTACATAACAGACATGGTGATACCATCCCAGTGCAGAATTACACAGTGTGGATAAGCTGCACAGATATTCACAGAATGGCAGAGAGATTGGAAACATGGATATCCAGGATTAGAACGCAGCGTTTCTGGGGCTGATTAAAATGAGGTTGGCAGGACGACAGCGGCAGAGTTACAAATTGGACCCATTGACATCCCTCATGAAAATGTTTATATCTCTCCAGATCCAGCAGGACCTCTCCTCTGCTCCAGTATGTTTCCTCCCCAGGTGGAAATGGAGGAGAGACGGAGTCAACATCCAGATGTAAACAAAAGTCTAATATTACTACTGAGCTGCCAGGTCTGTAGAGTGTGTGGAGGTCATGATATCAACCTGTAACACTTGGCTTCTACTCTGAGAAATTCTCTATTAATCTTTTTACAGAAAAATAATCTGCAACTATTTTTCTATTTCATTACGGCTCCATGTTTTCTGGTTAGCCTCACAAAGTATGTTTATGTTTTTCTTCAACGTGATATCTTCAGATCGGCTTTAGGGAACATCATCAAATTTGGTGAAAATGTTCACTTGGACTGAAAGATGAACTGATTAGATTTTGGTGCCTGGAGGTCAAAGGTCAAGGTCATGTTGGCTTCAAAAAACATGTTGAAAGATACCTCAAGACTGTCTGAGGGAATTTCTTCTACTTTTCATCAAAGTTCACAGTGAATCTGGTTTTAATAAAGCAGCTGACTTTGCCTTTAAATCTCTCAATATTTCTAAAGTAAAACTACTTGAAACACACACAGATAGTGGAGGTCATCATGAACAAGAGTAAAGTGAAACTTCCTCGTCACCGGGGTTAGTTATTATAAGTATTTAGAAATATGTCCACAGAAACTGCACTGGTTGGTGGAGGTCTGAGATCCTTGGTCTCAAGACTGCATGTAAAATGAATCTCCCGAGTTATTTCAGGCATTACATTGTATTTTTTCTGCACTTCTGCTTTTGTATTCTCCAGCCTCCTTAAAAGCCGAGAGCACTTCCTTGTCTCCTGTATCCAGATGTCTTTTGCTTTTTAAAAATTGAAAGTGTTGTGGCAGAGCTATGGCCCCTCAGATTTGCTCGTGTCTCAGCGTCCGCAGGCTCCTGCTACCTGTTGACGAGCCGCGCTTAATGTGGCGCATGTGTTGCTCGTCTGGGAAACCTTTTTAACTTCAAATGAGTCAGTGCACCATGCAGGAAATAGAATTCTGTTCCTGAGTTGAGGTGAATAATGGATCAAATAGTGTTTTCTGCAGAGCATTGTGATGTCACAGTGCTGTTGACCTCTGACCTGTTGCATGCAAAATGTCACCTCCTCATTATTTTACCCTGTTGTGCAGTTGCATGACATTTTCTATCGATAGCGTGTTAATTCTTGAGGTAGGGCCAAACAAAAATGTGCTGTGTGCGGCCATAGTGACCTTGACCTTTGAACTTTGACCATTAAAAGTTCATCACATTCATCTTTGAGTCTTAGTGAACGTTTGCACCAAATCGGAAGAAAATCCCTCAAAGCGATCTTGAGATATCTTGTTCACGAGAGTAGAATGGACAGTTGGACATCACAAAAACCTACGAATAGTCGATTAATCAATGAAACGCTTCATATCGCAATTTCCCAGAACCACCGCTGATGTCTTCAGATCACAACAATCCAGTTTTCTGTCATTTGAAAAAAGAAAATCTTCCCTGTTAAGAGGGTGTTTGTCTTTCTTTACCCTGAATATTGAAGCAGTTATCACAGTTGACGAATTGATAAATTAGCTCATTATCTCAGCTTCACTCCCAATTGGACGCAAGTGTTTTAACCCACACTCCTGAGAGAAACTGGCAGACCGATTTATTCATATACCCGTAGAAGAACAGTTTTCTTTGCATCAGTTGAATTTCATTGTTTGTATGTCTCTGTTCCACACGAGCGACAAACAAAGAGGTATCAGTGTATTGTGTTATTGTGCTGGTGTTGGTTCAGTGGATGTTAGACGCCCAGTTCTGACTCAGACTCTCGTCACATGTAATCTGGTTAGTGGCCCGGAACGCAAAGATTTAAATAAGACATCGTCAGTTTTGGCCTTTCCTCCTGTTACATCATTTTCAGGAGCAATAGCTGTAATCAACCCCTCAGCCGTTCTACACTGAACAGCTTGTAGAAGCACATCAGAGAGAAAGAAAGAAATCAAGCCTCTTTTGCTGTGTTCAAATGACGAACCCTTAAATCAACTGATTTCCCATATTACAGTTCAAAGGTCAATCAAAGGATCATTTGGTTGATTTTAGTCTCTGGACGAATGCAGCAGAACAAATACCGACATCTACAGGAAGAGATTAACATTTATTAGATCTCTATTGAATTATATGTTGTATAATCACCTCATTGTTCGATCTGTTTGTTTTTAATTCATTTTATTTACTGTAATTGGGAGAATTATGTGTACAAAGCATCGTTACGTAATGGTTTAATTAACTTTGAGACCAAATCTTTCAGAATGAATCTTGTCTCATGATTTAAACATGACAGTGAGTACAATCAGTGAATGACCACAGGCCTTGCTGAGATGAGACTTATGTTGACCGGGCGCCCGAGCAGGTGCCCGAGGAGGTCTCCTCTCTGTTTGTTTATGGATCACAGGAAACACTGTTTCCTCCTTTCAGAGAGGCTCGGTGTGCCATCGCACTTTTCATGACGGTGTTGTGATGCTCAGGGAGGAGCGTGTGTCCTTGAAATGACAAAAATCAGGAACAGATGCAAAGTGCTTTTCCACCACGACAGCGAGGACACAGAAAACAGTACATCAGTGTGCCTCATCTGATTGATAACGGAGACTGTGTTGCCACTTCGTGCTGGAAAATGCAGAGGGATCCCATTAAGACTACAGCACCTACGAGAACGAGGCCTCATTAATCCTTCAATTAGCGAATATGATGCTAATCCTGTGAAAGGGATGAGAGCACAGCAATAGAGTTTTGTCGGAGGAGAATGCTGCAGTTGTTCGACAGACATTCGCGACCTTTAGTCTGCGGCTCAGTCAAAAGCGATCGACAGTAGAAAACCCTCCTGTGTCTCCTCATTGTCATTTTCGCCATCGTTCCTCATTCTGTATTTGACGTCCTGGCTTCATTTGGGATTTTGCTATGTTGGGTTGTTGATATAAATGAACTCAGAAAGTGAGAATCATCATTGTACGATGGCAGCGTTCCTGTCCAGGATATTTTGGCTTCATTTCTGGATCGTGGGCAGACGTGGAGAGACGCCGTCCATCTTTATTTACAGTTTATGTTTCCAAATGTAAATGTGTCCGATTGGTTGAGACCCACGATTTGTTCAAGTGCATTGGTGCAACATGGCAGTGTTCATATCCAGGAATTCATAGATTCCCCTGTGGATAGAGGGAGGAAGAGGTGATGTGTCGTCAAATGCCCACAGTGATGAGACAGAAAGAGAAAGATGGGATTTTACCTCCCATTAAATATAAATTATGAGGAACATGAATATTACAGGAAAAAAGAAAAAAGACACCTCCGTGAAAAGACCATTGTCATCCTCCTGAAAGTTTTTTTGTTTTGTCCTTCATATCTAGAATATTTTGGCTTGATTTTTGGACATTATTTATCATTTATCTCACAACCACAAGAGGAAGCTTTTCACACCAAGCCAATAGAAAGAGGTGAGTTGCAACAGGAACAGTGGTGCACAAAGGCCGTTCAGGATGTCTTGCTGCTGTTTTTCCAGCTCTGAGTGTGACTGCGTCGCTGCAGGCTGCTGTGTCGCCTTCAGGCTCGGTTTGATTGGAGCCTGTGAAACCCTCCACAGCATAGAAGAAAGGAGGAAGAAGCTATTAGCTGTCACTCTCTCCGTTTTCTTTCATTTTATTGTGAAGCAAGTCACATCCAGGGAAGACCGTACGCAAGCTGTGCTTCACTTTCATGTGTCTGCTTGTGGGGGATGAGCCGAGAGGTAAATTACATGAAAAACAAATACTGGGGCACGATGTACATGTTCAAATTATAACTGCTGTGTTTCAGATACACATACTTGTGTTTACCTGTTTAAAACACACACACACGTCTCCACTGAGACTAGTAATCAGCTTGTCACGGCTTGTCAGCTCTCACCTGTCCTCTTGACAGATGTCAATAAAGTCTGTTACAACACATTCAGCTCCGGCACGGTGGAGGCGACACATCTCACTGCATGATTCATCTGTAGTCGACGAAATCAAATCATGCGTCTGACAGCTGTCTTTTAAACGCAGTGTGCATAAAAATGTGGATTTAAGTTTGAAACCTGAGTATTGATTGAAATCGGCTGAGCTTCAGAGCTGTCAAGGTAATCAATTGTCTTAAAAAACAAATACTATATAATCATTCAAATATACACAGGTATTGTAGGTACACTTGTTATTGTTCCAGTCCATTAATGAACATATATATATACGATAATGCAGAATTTAGTTTGCAATAGAGCCATGTTTCGACAATGTAAAAATACATCCGGCTAATTTATGTGTTCGAGACTCAAATAGCAACGCAAAGTATCTTAATTCCCTTCGAGATGCAGAGAGGAAGAGGGAAGGGGGAGGAGAGGAGGACAAGAAGAACAAAAAGAGGAAGAGATAAAAAGAGTGAGAGCAGAGGGAGAGGAGAGAGAGAGAGAGATGAAAAGCGGCAGGCACAGCAGCATTATTAAAATAATCATGTATAATTGAAGGAACATTTCTATAGCTGGCTCACTGCCGCGAATCAAAGGCTCACACTCACGGAGAACAGAAATCTACCTGACTGGGATTTCTCTCTGTGGAGGTTCCTGCAGTGGTGCTGAGGTGAATAAACTAAACAAAATAAAAGAGTAAAATCTTCCTCACCGCTCTCAGTACTTACCAGTTTCACTATGTTTTATTTGTGCAACATTAATTACGTACTTACGGCTGCAGAGAGAAGATAGTGAAATAGGTGAATGTTATTTGTGGTTTTAACAACAAATGCAACAAACTGTGGATCTTGTTGCTGTGACGCTGGCGGGGCTGTAATTAAGCTGACCATATTAGCTGCTCACCAGGGGCTTCAATTTGCTGAAGCTTTTTTTTTTTTTTTTTTAAAGCTGCATATCATTTACCTCCTGCACTTCTAAAACCAACTCCTAATCCTGGTGGATGGAGCAGCCATGACTGACAAGATGTTATTTGTTTTTCTTTGTGTGTGCCACAGCCCGCGGTGGTCACAGGTGATCAGACACGAGACAAAATGAGACTGAAAGTTAGTATTTGTGCCGACTGAGACATGATAAAAAAATGTAGACAGAGAAAATGATAAGAAAACCTTCTTTTTTTTCCTGTTATATTAATATTCTTTATAATTTTATTCAATATGAGCAGCTGGGCTTTCTCTCTCTCTTTTTAGGTTTGCCTGATCCAAACTATATCGGACTTATCTTGGCTTTTTTTACAGTTTAAACGCTGAAGAAAAATGAGACAAACACAAAACACTCAGGAAAATTGATACGAAGCATCATCCTCTGTCTGTGGATAACACTTCTCTTTAATCAAACCTGTTCCTCTCCTCTCTTGACGATACTGATATTCATTTTGTTGCAGGGCTGAGCATCATTTCAGAACTATTGATCTGATATAGAAACAGTTCATCAGAGCGATCTCTCTCTCTCTCTCTCCCATGTTCACTCTGCCGTCTCTTCTTCTTCCTGTCTCCAGGTTATTTATGCTCTGAACACCAAGAACGACGAGCACGAGGAAGAAATCGAGTCTCTGAAAGAAGCTCACGAGGACGAGGTACGGACGTCACAGCATTTCAAACGCTTATGAATGTTTACAGCACCGGAGAATATGTCACTTTCAAACATCTTTAAACGGTCAAAGGTTTTCTCACTACTCCAGAAATCACTTGTCATGACATAGAAAGTTCATTTTACTCCTCAAGCCATTGATATATCACTGGTTTCCGTGGGGATATTTGGTTTCCTGAAGGAGTCTTTTCCTTTGCATGTTTAATTTTTTAAGGGACTCTTGCTGTGCACCAGTGGGTGATTCAGCGGCACAGTGCAATTTGGGTGTCAAGACTGACCTGATTTTTATGCTGTCTGCAGCCGCCTGCAGGGAGCAAGGTGGACGCTGCATTGTGCACACACAGCAAACGCAGATCCTAAAATCTTAACTTCTCAACTTGCAAACACATTGGCTAAGAAAATAAATCAGGCGTTTCCATTAAGGCAGCATAACGAAGAAACTGCGAACCCCCTGTAAAAATGTCAGCGTGAGCCCTTGTGAGAATACACAGGCCTCTGCTACTTTCTTCACATGCAAAAGGAAACTCTGGACCCAATTTTCGAACATTTTCCAGAGTTCATGTCTGGAAACACTTGTTTTTTCAGAACAGCTTCAATGCTGCTTTGCATTTAGTCTAAATCCTGACAGAAAATACTCCTTCAAGTGTTCAATTAGGGTTCAATCTAGAGACTGAAGACTCAATTCATTTTTATACCCATCACCCTTCTGCAATCATCGCATGCGAGCTGCTGCTGTAATAATATAAAGCCGCAGCATCTTTTGTATGAAAAAAGCTTCATTCACTTGTTGGATATCATAATTGATGTTGATGGGTAACAGCCAACAAACACACCCACCACCCACCAACAGAGTCAGAGTCCTGAATGCTTGTTATTTACTCTGCAGTTGATTTTCTCCTCTGATTTCGCTGTCGTAAAACAAATCTGGCTCCAGATTAAAACCAACAAGTTCATCGCAGGAGACCGAAGCTGATATGAAACCATTTGAAATGTGTTGATGTCATTGCTTTTAGAGAGCAGCTTTACTGTACCGTGTTCTGAGTGGGTAATTCAATTAGTGTTGCTTTCAACTGTTACATTTTGCGAGTGGGACTTTTCTCTGCTGCCAAGACACATTTCTTGGAGGCAGCAGTATTTTGTATTTTGTTTTGTCCCGTTAGCTTGTGTTCCCACCTACACTCTGCAAATCCTCTATGTTAAAGTGAGGAAGCAAAATCATTGACGTTCTAGGTCACATTATATTATGATGGAGTAATAGGGCCATGTTGACTAGAGTTAAAGAGTATATGTTGCTATTAAAGAAAAAAAATCTGACTTTATTCTCTCAATATTGCAAATGGTATTATTATTATTATGACGTAGTTTATTTTAAAATTACAACTTCTCTTATTCTTGTAATATTATAACTTTATTCTCGTAATATTATGACTTTGTTTTTTAAAATTACAACTTGATGTATTCTGGTAATATCACAAATTAATTCTGATAATTTTACAGCTTTACTCTCATAATATAACGACTTGATTATGAGAGTCAAGTTGTGAAATTACGACATTCTCAAAATCGAATTTCTTTTTCGGCTTCTATTGGCCCTAATGCATCTTGTACAATAGAAGATGTTTTGCACAAGCAGTGAAGGTGTTGGCTGTTTTGTGTTCTCCTGCCCAGGTCCAACACATTGTGACAGAGACCAGAGACAAAATCATGCAGTACAAGAGCAAGATGGTGGACGAGGCGGACCTGCGGCGGCGGCTGGCCAGTCTGGAGGAATCCGTGGACCTTCACGAACACATGAAGAGACAGGTCATTCACTGCTGCTGGGCACCATGGGGGGGGGGGGCTTCACTTGGGTCACTGTGTTGTGAAACATCTGTAGAGCTTTACAGATTTAGTTATCTTCACGTCATCAGCCGCCTTTTAGTGAAGTGAATTACAATCTGAGCTGAGCTGCGCGGCTTCCAATACTCTCGTGAAATATTATACACAGTCGTAACCGCACAACATTGGATTGTGTTGATATTGTGGGATATAATGTAATGCCGTTGTCGTGATGTTTTGTCGCTGTCAGGCTTTAGCTGAGTTTGAGATGTACAGACAGAGAATGGAGGACTCCCAGCTCTGCACCGAGGCCCAGCACACACAGAGAGTGGTTTCTATGAGCAGAGAGGTATGTCTTTACCACACACACACACACACACACACACACACACACACACACACACTGGAGATTCATTGGGATTCCCAGGCCCAGTTCATGAAATATTTAATACTACTCACTCTAGCAATGCGTAAAACAAAAATATCAGGTTTCTACCAGCAAGAAGATTGAATAGAGCTGCGACTCCAGTGTGTGTGTACTGCTTCTTTTGCATTGTTATATATTTCTCATATGCAGCACTTGTTACTCCGAGGTTTTGTGGATGTCCACGTGATTTCTCATCAACGGTGGCGTCCCACTCAGACACAACACATGCCAAGCTGTAGTTTCCCATCAGCCAGTTTTGATCTGGACAACAGCTTAACATGAAATGTCCTGTTACATAAACGTGGCAGGTTACTTACGTTATTTATGGCATATTTTTCCAGCTGAGTGAAGGTGTTGCAGGATTTGTTTGCTTGGATGATCATTGTAACATGTGTTAGACCTAGACTGTATTTCAAGATGGACGACGTGTCTCCACTTCCTCCTGTTGTACAAAAATGATATTTTGACTTTTTATTTTGGTCCATGTCCCATCCACTAACATAGAGGAGGCGGAGTTTATGACCTGTGCTGCAGCCAGCCACAGTCAAGATGATTTGTCTTCACTATTGGGAGCAGTCGCCCATCTTTATATACAGTCTATTAAAAAGTGATAATTGAATCTGATGTGCTTACATACATCATGTTTTATCATGCCATGCATCACATCAGGTCATGACACAGCATCATACACGCTTGCTTCTGTGGAGTCTGATGGCAGTGGGCGCAAATGACCATGTGAAGTGTATCTTGCTGCGATGAGCTAGAGGCTGAACCTGCTCAGCTCATCCTCACACCATCTGCGTCCGGATTGGTCTGCGTCCGCTTTGGTCCTGTCCCTCGTCTCTCCCTCTCTTTCCGCCACTGCCCTCACACTGTCTCGTCCCGGTTTGACTAAAGAGACGGCCTCTTTAGCAAAAGTCTGCTGGCGTCGCACATCATCACATCTCACGCCACATTTTTATGTCTCGTTTTTTCAACCTGTCTGTCTCATTTCTTTCACGTAACAGCAAACACGGTCAAGTTGCTTTGTTGCTGCCGTTCGCAGGCGTAGCTTTGAAACCACAAATTATGTGAAGGCATGTAAGTTAAAGGAATTCAATCATCTGCTCTTTTCTAATTATAACAGAGGGATTTTGAAGAGACGCTGCGAGCATTTAGCTTGGCACAGGTAGAGATTAGATTGGCAAACAACACATTCAACGATTCCAACGGACAAATAGAAAAATGTTTCGTGGTTTCATAGGTGGAGGAGATGCGTCGGGATTTTGAGGAGAAGCTGCGGTCGTTCAGCCAGGCTCAGGCCCAGTTTGAGGCTGATAAGCGGCGAGCGCTGGAGGAGCTGAGAACCACCCACCGCCAGGAGGTGGAGGAAATCCTCAACAACCAGCAGAACCAGAGCGCCACCTCCACTGAAGACCAGGAGAAACTGGCCGAGCTCCATAGACAAGAGGTGGGCTGAGAGTGAGAGAGAAAAGGAAGATAGATGTGTCTTTTTTGGAAGGACAAAACCTTTGGATTGAAGTAAATACAACAAGTTACTTGATGGGGTAGCTGCTGTGTCAGAGGCTTTTTAAATCTTCAGTTTCTGGCATGAAAACTGAAAAATGTAGGGTTGTTTTGGTGGCGCACTTGGCTTTTGAGTATAATGTAAACTTGAAGTGGTTAAAATCGGACCATGGACCTTTGTTGCATGTCATCCTCTTATTTTCTTCCCATTTTTTTATTTCCTATCAACTGTTTACTGTCCAAAATATAACAGCTTTCCCAAAGACTAATCCTTTAAAGCATAAAAAAGTTATTAAATATCCACAGAAGCCAGTATGTGTTTTGGCATCTGACATTGAAATCTGTCTGTCTGTGTAGGTGGAGGCGTTGATGGAGAGGGTGGAGGAGATAACGAAGGACAAGGTCCGTCTGGTGGAGGAGTACGAAGCCAAGCTGGCGAAGGCTCAGGAGTATTACGAGCGAGAGCTGGAGGCCATGAGGAGGACGCACCAGCTCACTACTGAGAACCTGCTGGCCTGGAAAAGGACGGAGGTGAAACCCCAGCACAGACTCACTGTAGAAAACAAGCAGCCGCATTTATTTAATGGAATACTGCACTGTTTTATGTTGTTCTCCTTTTCTTGAATTTTGTCATCTACAAACTTAAAAAATGTTTCTATAAATGTAAATGATTTATATTGATATTACTGTCCACACTACTGATGGTCTTGGTTTTTTATGTGTCGGAGTGAACGTGGTCATATTCTGCTGGTGTCCAGGTCGAGCTCCGTAAAGAGTTCCAGGCCCAGGATGCGGCGCTGCAGCGCTCACTGTCAAAGCTTAGGAGTGAGCTCCAGAAAGCTCAGGAGGAGGCAAGGGAGAACCGAGACAAGACCAACAGGCTGCAGACGTCACTGGCCAACGCTGAGGGAACAATCAAGGTGTGTGTTTGTGTTTGTGTGTGTGTGTGTGTGTGTGTGTGTGTGTGTGTGTGTGTGTGTGTGTGCGTCCATGCATGAACATGACGTTTTACTCTCTTAGATTGTTTTGTTAAACCTGATTATTACTTAGGACCCATTTCCTCTTGTATTTATTGTATTATTTCCCAACAAACACAAATAGTACGAGAGCCTCCTCTTCGTTACATTTGGGCTAAATTGGATGAACAAATGTTGCTGAAAACAGATAAAAGTAAAAGCTCTGGGGCAAAAAAAAAAAGTGGGAAATCTAATGTGGTGTGAGCTGATGGTCCTGCAGGCAAATCTGTTGAGTGGGACGAGCTGGAGAGGTTTATGTGACTCCAGGCTGTGGTGGGAGAAATATGACTGGGTGTTAAAACCCACATAATGTTGGATTGTTGGATATTTGTGTTTAGGAAGTGTTTATGTGTGTGTGTGTATGTGGCAGAACCTGCACAAGCAGCTGGAAGAAGCCATCCAGGACGGAGAGATCTGGGTGATGCAGCTGAAGGACACTGAGTATGAACTCGAGGGCAGCAGGGAGCGAGTGCAACAGCAGGCAACTGAAATCCTCCACAAAGCCAGTAAGAGACTCATTTTCTGTGCAGTTCAATGGTCACAGATGTGACTTGATGTGTTAAAGGAGTAACTTCATATACTCTCAACATTGTAACAATACAAAGAGGCAAAGTTTCCTTTTCCACTGTCATCTATTCTTATATTTTGTGGATTCCAACTCTTGAAGAAGCTCTGTCGACACATTACCCTCCACATCCTGCAGATCTGAAGACGCCCTCTGTGTCCACGCGGAGCCCCGTTTCCATGAACATTCAGCAAAAGAGCGCTTCTTGTTTGGAAAAAAAATGTTGTTCACTTAGAAAGCTGTGGATTAAACCTTTCATAATCCATTCACAAGATGAACATTTGTCATGTAAACTCTCCTCTGGCTTATTTTGAAACATCTGCTCCCTCTCCATTCTTTCCTCTTGTTTGTCATGTACCAGTTTTCTAGCTGTTTAACAAGCTGTGTTCCTTCCTCAGAGGAACGTATGAACAGCTTAACACAAAGCTGGGATTCTGTTTGTTCTGTCGTCTCAGCTGTGAAGTCATTACGATGCCAAATGTGCTGAATGAGTTGGATGTGACTGTTCCCAGGTCAGATCGGCTCATTGCAGGCCACCCAGATGTCCCACGAGGCAACCATCAGGAACCTGGACCAGGAGCAGAGTCGACTGAAGGAGAAGATCAGCCGGCTGGAGGAGGAGAGGGAGGCGCTGCTCAACCAGAGCCAAGCTGCTAACGAACAGCACAAACAACAAGTGGTCAAACTAGAGCAGGTGCTTTTTTGTTTTTATCCACACAATTCCAGTTTGGACTCAAAGCTCACTAAAGCAGGCTTCTTCTCTCCTCCTCAGTCTCTGCGCGAGGAGCACCAGGGCTTTGAGAAGGAGCTCTCCAGACTCAGGGCGCACTACGAGGAGGAGACGCTGCGCTACAGGGAGGCGCAGGTCCGAGCGCTGGAGGAGATGGAGGAGAAGCACCAGGCCATGAGGGAGGAAGCCCAGCAGGAGAAGGAGGAGGAGAAGAATCTCCTCATGACGGTGAGTACAAACATTTTTGATAAAATACAGATTAGCTCTTATAGAATCACACACTGTGTTTTCTTTGTGTTATATATTACTCACTGCTGTGAATGTGTCAAACCCTCTGTCAGTGCAAAAAAAATCACAAGCTCAGCTCGAGCTGTTCTCTTCTCTCAATTTAAAAAAACAGGAGCAGAGGGAGCCGGAGATTTTGTATTTGTCGTAGTAGTACATTTATTAACCTTCTATATATTTACATATATGGACCCCAATGGTGAAAACACAGAAAAGGGCCAAAAGTGAAGTGACAAATTTCTTAGAATAAAACATTAATTACGACAAAACACAGCGGGATGTTGCTCTCAGGGTTTTTTTCTCTCTCTCAATTAAATTCCCTCCTCGGAGCAAGTGTCCTGGGCTGTTTAAAAAAATATGTATCTCCAAGAAAAGAGAGCCACCCCCCTTCGAGTGACTGCACACATTTAATTAGGTCAACATTAAGACTTAAGACGTGGAAACAACATCACTATCTCCCTGTATTTCACTGTGCGTCCTTCATTTTCTCATCAAATGCCCCCCCTCTCTTTCATCCTCCAGGCTTTTCTTTTTTCTCCTCTTTCTCCGTCCTCCGTCTTTGAGTTCAAAGTTGCTGCGCAGCGGGAATACCAATGTCCTCGTTGCCGAAGGAGCAAGAAGAACGTAATCAAATTAGGCAGGTTAAATTAATTGACCCTGATTCGTTCACCAGCTACAACGTCGCATTACCGAAAAACAAATAGTTTAAAGCAGGAAGGAGGAAGCGACTTGATGCCTCAGTGTGCCGCCATTTTTCGGTCGGCGTGGGCTGTGAGCAGCTGCCACCATTCACGCTGCACCCTGGGAAAATCATCAGTCAACAATGCGGCTGATTTCTGCAGATGAAAGTGTGACATCGACGTAGGAGGGAAACTAAACCCTGACTCACAGCTACAGCCATTCAGAGCTGAGCATGATGGGTACTCCAGTAGTTGAGGAATGTACCACAGTGAAAAGAAACAACATAAATCATTTGGCAATATTTCAAACTAGAACAGAGCGTAATTTACCTCCACCAAGGCCCAACAGTCGTCTTGAATTAATTCAAGTTTCAACAAATTTTGTTCATCAAGACCCAGGTTTTATTCAGTGAAAATGGCAAAATACACACAAATCTTGCAATGTTAAAGAAAGCGGGAACATTTAAGAGTGGATCCTGTCATCTGATTGGGTAACAATAGTATTATTTTGCCATAGAACAGTAGGTGAGGAGGAGCGCTTGATTTACAGTGCATTATAACTCATTTATTCATGCTTATGTGGCTCCACCTGCACTCAACGTAATTCACGTTTATTTTCTCCAAAACTATTTCTTTAAAATTCCAGCTAAAATAAAGACATATTTTCTGTATCAGTTCTCAAGTTTTAAACATTTTTTTTCTCTCTGTGTGTATCCCCATATGTCTTCTCTTTCACATCATGTCTCAACTTTCAATGCTGTTTGAAGCTGACTGCTAATTGACTGCTTTTCATTGACATTAAACCCTGCCTCAAAGCCAAGTGACAGCGCTGTGTGTGTGTGAGAGAGAGAGAGAGCATGTGGGTGTGTGTTTATAGATCCCCTGAAAGAAAGGAAGAGAAATGGAGAGAAGGAATTACAGAGGGGGAGGTGAAGAAAGGAGATATTATGTAAGCCGGAGCAGTGCTGTGCTTCATCTTTAGAGAAACCTCTGTTTTTATTGGGAGCGAAATTAAAGATGATGCAGGACGACAACTCGGGTGAAACAGAGAAAACGACAGAACTGGTGAAAGGTGACTGTGACCTTATATGAGTCTGGAGATAAATGTGTGTGGACTGAAACTGCACTCGTTGGAGGCGTACAATCACAGAATGGTAATTCTATTCTACTCTTGTTACAGTAAAAAGAAAATAGCAAAGAATAAAGTAGTGTCTTTGGATGCTGTGCTGTTTATGGAGTGTGACTAAACTGCTGCAACAGAACACAATGACTTTTTATTTCATAAGATATATCCACCAAAGATTTCAGAGCGAGGGATGAATAGAAACGAGAGAAATAGTCTAAATATAGGAAGAAAAGGGGAATTTCACAAGATCAATTCCGAGTGGCCCAGAAAGGCTTTCTTGCTGTGGTGTAAGGATTATAGAAACTGGTTGGTTTTCACTAGATGGCCTTTTAAGTTGAAATGACAACCCACGTGTCCCTCCCTCATTCAGCGGCCATGCTACACACCCAGCAGCTGCCACGACACTATATTAAGGCACAAATGGGATTTACTGTTCTGTGGCTTCCCAACGCTCTCCTCCGTTTTTAAAGATTATACTTTCAGGGTATTTCGCTATAAACTCCTTTGGAACTGTATTCCTGTTACTGCAAAAGGGTCATCATGCTTTAATATAAACACACTTATTTGCAAGTACATGAATGGGTTCTTTGTAAGGCAAGGTATTGGAATATAAAGTTTTAAAACCTTGCCAGAATTTCTAATCAATCCATTCTGTCCTTCCTCTTCTGCTAATCCATCCCTCCACTTCCTCCTTTTGCTCCTGCAGAAAATGAGTCAGGAGTTTGAGATCAAGCGTTTGTCGCTGGAGGAGCAGCGGGACCGTCTCCAGCAGCAACTGGACAACCTGAAGGAGGAGCTCTCGGCCAAACTCAACATGGCCAACCAGGAGGTACGAAAAGTTTGGTCGGCTCTTCTTGAAAACATGATCAATCTCATTCTACGTTCTAAACCTCTGGCGACCCCCTCAGGTGTCCCACTTCCAGGAGCTGGTGAGGGAGGGGCAGCAGAACCTGGGCTCGGCTCAGACGCAGATCAGCTGTTTGAAGGAGACTCAGGAGAAACTCAGGGTAGAACTGGATGCGACCAGAGCCCGAGTCCGAGAGACCAGTAACCTGCTCACTGACCTACAGGTGAGGAAACTGGTGGAATTATTAGAATTTGAGCTGTAAATTAAATGGTTACAAGGGTTATCCTTCCACGAACTGTTGGATTGTGGGTAAGCTTCCATATCAAAATGTGTCCTAATCCAGAAAAATCGAACCCTACTCAACCTGAACCCGACAGGTTTTCTATAATTTCAACCAAACCCTTATTTTTTCCCCAGACTGCCAATAGGACCATGCACAACCACAACAGATTTCTGTCCGTATCAACACTCTGTTCCGTATTCAGTTGAGCAAAGTGGTTTTCAAATGGGATCCTGGGTAAAGTAAATAAATAATAGTGTTTGGAAGATGCTGTCCGTCTATTCATTCAGGTGATCAGGGAGCTTTACAGACAGCCAGTCACCCACTCTGTTAGTCTTTGCTTAGTCATTCAATGTGACAGTCAGCCAGCAAGTGTGTCAATCACACACCGCAGCCGAGCATTAACCTGCCGGCCAATCCAATTCAACTCTTCAACTGTCTTTAAGCTTAATGTTGGTGATGTCAGGAAGGGACAGAGGCACACAGAGGAAATGAGAAAGAGAGAAGGAAGGAGGGATGGAATAGAAGAGAATATAGACGGATGGATGGAAGGATGGAGGGCTGGGAGAGGACATTGTGAAAGCAGGGTTGGAGAAGAATGCAAGGCCAGCTGTGAGTTAATGATGATGAGCCTATTATGAGTTGAGTGGTCCTGAGATTGAAGAGCTGGTGTGAGACGCAGGAAGAGTGTGTGTCTGAAATTGGCTGAATCTTTTTTTAATTTCTAATTTGTATCATCACTATTATTATTATTACTCTTAATATTAAGAATAATGTTTGCTAATACTGGTAAAAAAGCCACAGTACTTTGAAAACTCCCAATGAAGACAATTGAAATCATCACTGTGGCTGTAAAATACTAAATATCCAATAATAAGCCGACAATGCAAACATGAACACAGACGAGGTTAAAAAGTCAAATATATGAGAAACTCCAATGACTAATACAAGACGGAGCGATGGCTGATGAACGATGCAGCAGACAGAGCGACTGAATGAGGAGCTGATAATTACATAAAACTGTGAAGTGGCGCTCTTTGCTTTTCCCACCAGCTCGTCTATAAAAAGACTCAGGATTGTATCTTTCACTCGCAGCCCGAGCGCCGCTTCCAATCTAGACCAGCCATTGTTCAGCGGGATATGAACCCTTGAATACCTCGTTATGCTCTAAAAGGATCGCCGAAAGAACCGAGAACACGTAGAGACAGAGTCGGTGTAGAGACACGTCTTTGTGTCTTTGTTCCACTTGTGACGATAACGCATCGCTGATTGTCAGGTGCATGCTTTTATATTTGTGTGTTGAAATGGTTGACTGTAAATAAAGATGGATGACGTGTCTTCAGTTCCTCCTGCCGTCCAGAAATGTTTGTTTGTCTGATAGTTGGCAGCATAACCAAAACTAGGCGACGGATTTGCATCAAACTTGGTGCAGATCCAGATTTTGCCATTAACATTATTTAACATTATCTCAGAGAATAATAAATGGATCTTGATGAAAAACGGATATTTATGAATGAATTCAAGGGTTCTGTGAGACGTGATTGACAGTTTTTTTCAACTTTCTGCCAAAAGGAAAGTTGTCTCTCTTTGCACACAGTTTTCGTCTGGATTTAAACTGCTCAAACTTTCCTCCCGGAAGCCGAACACGAGAGCTCTCAGGTCTTTTTCTTTTTTAATGAGGTCGTCAGCAGATCAACCCCGGAGCCTTTTCGAGCAGCTGCAAACGGGTGACCTGGTGAAGTTAGCTTCTGCCTCGAAAACCTGCGCCTTACAAATGGCCCGTAGCTGTGGCATTATAAATAGACATGGATGTGGACACGATGACTCACCCAACTCTCGGCTACTGAAGTGCTGCATCTGGCCAGGGATGGAAATTTGAGAAGATTTTCTCTGTTATTGTTAAGGGCTCAGGACTCTTTCAGCAACACTTTGGGTCATATTTCCCATATTCCAACCTAAATTGTGATCAATTTCTTAACACTTTTGTCCTCAGATAGTGATTTAAAAGAAAGATGTGAGTGGAGGGGGCTTCCATGGCTTTTTGACCAGTCAGCCAGAAACATCCTGGTGCCTGAAGGGTGGAACGAAGGCTGGAAAAAGTCTGAAAAAGAATGAAAAAGATGAAGCAGTCTGATGGTACGGACCAGCGGAGCATTTTGGCTAAAGTCTGTGTACATGTTTGTGTTTGCAGGAGGAGATCGAGACTCAGAAACAGCAGCATGAGGCCCGAGTGATGTCCATCAGAACAGAGGAGAAACAGAAGATGGACAAGATGGCAGACGACCTGGACCAGAGATGGAGGGATGCACTGCGGTAAAAGAAAAAGACAAGAAAAATCCTCTCTCTGTCCTCACATATCTCACACTGACAACTTATCAGTGTCACTCCGTCATGTTTTGCTCCTTCCATTTGTTTTCTCGTTCATCTCTCGCCCCCTCTCCGTCACAATCACACTTGTTATCAGCGAAACAAGCGGAATTTGTTTTGCCAAAAAACACTCATGGATATTAATGGAGGGATGACAAAATAACGAGGGAGGGAGCAAGCTAATTGAGGCGTGCAGTATTTACAGATATCCTCTAAGCAGGACAAAATGCAGCAGAACGAGGATGCTGGCAGGATAAATGATAATTCCACCAAACTGTGTCTGTGATCTCTGCAGGGAAGAGGTGCGTCTGCTAAAGGAGGAGCTGACCGAGGAGTACGAATCCGACAAGCAGGCGGCGGTGACTCAGCTCTCCCAGCAGAAAGAGCTGGAGATGATGGCGGCAAGAGAGGGCTGGCAGAGGAAGGTGGAGGACCTGCTGGAACAGGTGAAACACACACTTTGGACTTCCTTAATAGATATTCGGCTTATAAATGATTGTATGCACGACTCAGTTCACACCAGGATGTAAATTATCAAAAGGTAACAGGTGCATGTTCAGAGCTGGTAGCTGTTTTATATCAAGACATGGTTTTAGTTTGCTTTCGCTGAAAACGTAACTAATTTTAACCAGTTTTAAAATATATCTACTATATTCACATGGCACCGGAAATGAGTTTCAAATCAATATGAGAAAAGGAATACATTATATGAATTCCTGGAGAATCTCTGTGATCGGAAGGAAAACTTGAACCACAAATTTGCAGCATTCCAATAGTAACTCATCCTGACGGTGCTGGAGCAACAATGGAGGAGGCTGCAGAAGCATTTTAGCTCAGACCCCTTTATTCTAAAACTTCCTCTGCTGCACAAAAGAGGAATGGTTTGCAGACAGTTATTCAAAGCGTCTCTTCACTGACAAGCTTGTTACGTCAGGAAGATTTTTTACCTACTTCAGGGAAACTTTCAGATAAAATAACAAATACAGGATGCCCGAGAGAACAAACTACCCAAAACAAAAAGAGCAGAGAGAAGCACGGGGAGCTGTTGTGGCTGTTCTGTGTTTTACTTTTCGGTTGACAGGGTTTTTAAATCTCTAAATCCAAAAGCTACAGCATAAGGTATGGACCACATGCACGCCAGGCTGCATCGAGCACAGTCTGCTGTGTTTTTCCATCCAACACCTGGTGCAGGCAGGTGCACTATCTGTCACATGCACATACATCATCTGCTTTTAGAGGCTAATAAATGTGTTCTTGATGCGTGTTGTTCTAGTTCTGTGACGAGTGGTGGTAGAAAAGCTTCCTGTTTCAGCTGCTCAGATCAGGAATTTAAGATCTGTTGTATCAACAGTGAGAACCATTCAACACCGCGCTGAAAGCTCGGGCGCTCGTCTACTCACGCTCACGCGGCTGACAGTGCCGAGCAGAGTGCCCCCTGGGTAATTCAGAGCTCAGCTGAGTCACAATTGAAACCTCAAAGAGGCTCGTCCTGATTTTGCCAAGAAGCCGGTGGCCTCGGATAAACGCTTTCTGACAAGCCGGTGCCAGCATCCACCGATGCCAGCGTGGTAACTTTTCAGATGCACCCACCCACTCTTTACCCGAGCCGTGACAAAAGTAGCTCACGACAAGGTTTGAAATGAATGCTATGAATTTCAGCTTCTTGTGTCCATCTCTATCTCTATCTGACACAAACAACCATCAGACCAGTGATGGACACGAAGATTATATGTGCAGCTTAAGTAGAAAATAAATGGAGTGTGTGTGTGTGTGTGTGTGTGTGTGTACATGTGAAGGGATGTTAAATGGCATTGTGATCTCACACATGCACTACAGTTTAACTAAGATACGTCCACCTCATTAAGTCCCGGCCTGAAGACATCTACATGCATTATTCAGTTACAGTCATAGCGCCACCTATTGGCAACAGAAAAGTTTTCATGGTTTCATGACCACCACCAGCCATTGCCTCTGATATTCACAGAGGGGCAAGGGTCTGTTTGACGCGGCTTTACTTAATCTTGCATTTCTACTTATATTTCTGTAAATGTAAAGATGACTAATCATAGCAGACAGTTCGTGGACACAGAAAAGGGAGGATGAAGTCTACAGGTCAGCTGCTGGTCTTCTTAAATCCATAACCCCACAAACTTCATCCCGGCCCTGCTTCCCATCTCTCTCATTTTAAATCCATCTTACCTTACAGTGGTTAATGTAGTACTGCTCGAGCACTAAATCCTGCCAGGGATTTAGGTGCCGCAGCCTGAGGAAGAGTGACGTGTGGAAGACCAGAGGCGCCTGTGTGAGAGAGCTCCGCCATTCACAGCCACTCAGACCCCTAATAGTTCCGATATCTCCTCGAAACAAAGCAGTTTTCTGCACTGTAATGAGGCTGACGCACGTGGGCTTTATATTGCTTGGCTGTGCGCGCTGTCAGTTGTTGTCTGGAAAGCTGTCAGCTCATTGATACAGGATGGGAAATCTCCAGCTACAGTGTTTGGCTGATATCCATATTGTCAGTATCTCCACCAGTGAGTAGCTGTCAAAGAGAAAACTAGACTATCTCTCAGAAGCCAAAACAATCCATGAGAATGTGAGCGACTGACGCCGGAAATACAAAGAAAGTGCGATGATGTTCTTTTCGTTGATCTAATTAAGTGAGAGCAGCATTTCGAGTGTGTTGCTCTTTTTCCAGAGATGCATATTTTCTTAAATTAATCTGAAGGAGAAGACTAATGTGATGCTGCTGCACAGAAAAACTACTATAACAGCCAGTGGGCAGAGATATTCCATTTTTAGGTTGTCTGTTTGTCCGTCCTGTACTTATGAACATGATATCTCAAGAACGCCTTGAGGGAATTTCTTCAATTTTGGTACAAATGTTAACTCGGACTCAGAGATGAATTGATTAGATTTGGTTGATCAAAAATCAAAGGTGTAAGGTTGACACAGGATTTTTTCCACACTCTTGTACAAAGATAGACAGAAACAGAATTTGTAGACTGAAACCGCACTGGTTGGCAGAACTATATGATAGCACGGCAGTAATTCTAGTTATCTTCGCCTTTAATCATCCCATCTGTCCATTCCACTCTGAAACAAGCCTGGTGCCGTTGAGTAATCGTTACCTTACCCTCCCTGTTCCCTCTCTCACTCTTCCTCTGTCCAGATCTCTCTATTGAAACAGTCCCTGGAGCTGCAGTTGTCTCAGTCGCAGTCGGCTCTCCAGCAGCTGCAGTCTCAGTTCAACCAGGAGAGAGAGCTGCTGAGCCAACAACTCAAAGGTAAGCTGCCCTCTTCCATTTGGATGGAGTGAGCTTTGACTTGGATCCAAAGGCACATTGAGGGGACTGATATCTATGACTGTGTGAAATGTTAGAGACTATTGCAGCCATTCAGTGATTTTACAGCAGTGCACCTTTCGTGTGTGCTATTAAAAAATCATAGAAAAGACTTTTCCTGCTGCTGCTGCTTCTTATTATAAGTTTTCAGGAGAATGGAACCATGAGTTACTTTTATTGTAAAGCAGCCTTTCAGATTAGAATTAATGCTCCTATAAAACAAGGGTCATTATCTGGCATATGTTCTGCTACAATACTGGACGGTTGTTAGTAAAACTATATGGGATGTGCAGCATGTCCTCAAATCAGGATTTGTCCCAGCATGATGGAAGAGGAACTGCAAAAAAATGGGATGCAATAAAACACAACGACACAAAGATGCACGGTGCGTTGAAAGATCAATCCACTTTCCTTTTCATGTTCTGCTCAGCAGTGTGCCCCGCGCCGCTGTGCGAGTGAAAAGATCACCATGTCGACCGTCTTGTTAAACAGAATGGAAACGCGCCGGCTCCTGATGGATGCCGCCATATGCGCTCACGTCTCTGTTTGTGCTTGTGTGTTTGCAGAGATGCAGAGGGAGCATCAGAGGAGAGAGCATCGATTACAGGAGGCTCACTGCTGCGCCCTCAGCACCATGGAGGAGGCCCGGCAACACCAGATCAGGGTGAGACACACACTCACAGAAGCTGCTTTCAGACAGGCACTGAAGCCTGGTTATTTTCTCAATTTATTCTATAGAAAACAAATAATTTCTTTGTGTTTACGCGACACAGTATTAGTCACGAGCTTCTGTGAGAGACAAAAGTATCAACACAAGACAAGCTTTTAAAGGAGAAAAGTGTTCCCGTTGTATTAATGTTGTTAGTTTTAATTTAACGGCTCTTATTCCTGCTGCAGATTTAATTGAAGGTAAATGATTCATAAAGCAATTAAATCAGTCATTCGCTTCATCTACTTTAATTTCTCTAATTTCCTGGTTAAATGACACTGAAACGAACGCAGGATGGTGATATCGTATTTAGGTGTCTTTAAGAGGTCTTTCTTGTCTTGAGGGGACTTCTTCAAATTTGGTTCAGTAGTCGAGTTTGACTCAAGGATGAACTGGTTAGAATTTGGTGGTCAAAGGTCAAGTTCACCGTGACCTGCCCTGTGAATGTGATATCTTGGGAACACACTCAGATTTGGTACAAATCTTAAGTTAGACTCGGATGAAGTGAATAGATTTTGGTGGTCAAAGGTACGAGGTCAAGGGTCAAGATTGCTGTGACGTCACAAACACATCTTTTGCCTTTTGAACGCAATATCTCTGGAACACCACCAGGGAATCCTTCTGTACAAACGTCCACTTGGACTCAGAGATGAACTGATTACATTTCAGAGGTCAAAAGGTCACAGTGACCTCATATGAGCTTGGAAAAAAGTATGTAGACTGAAACTGCACTGGTTGGCAGAGACAAACAACTGCAGGAACTTATTGCTGCTCAACTACTGAATAAACTTCACATAGAGAAAAGATTTAATTCTTATTATTTTTTCTTACGTCCATTAGCAGCACACTCAATAAGCAGAAAGATTAACTTGGCAATTCACTGTTTTAAGTATTCTTAATTTTGTGCCTCCTCACATACTCGAAAACTGCTTGGAATTAGTATGGAATTGGGACACAGCTGCCGTGTTTAATGTTGGCGCATTGTTTTTTCTTCAGGGTTTAATTTTCCTGCAGTGCTGAAATTATTATATGTCAGAGCATCCTCGCAGGCACCACCAATCAGGTTTCAGTGTTGACACTTTACTCCCGCCACAAGTTTAGTTTTGATGTAACCTTTTATACCTCCTCTTTAATCTCTTCTTCCCCCGCTGGCTGCCAGGCACTGGAGGAGCGTCTGAAGCAGGAGCAGAGGGAGGAGGTCCACGCTCTGAAGGAGGCCCACAGGAGGACGTTTGACATCCTGAGACAGCAGTCCGACCAGGAGCTGCAGACGCTGCGATTTGAACTTGAGGACGAGGGGAAAGCCAAGCTGGGTAGATGATGACGCACATTAAAAACATGGCTGTCTCTGTTTGTAGTAATTAGGTTTCCATCCATAATAACAACCTCTCTCCCTGAGGCTACAGCCACACTAACACACTATTGTGTTAACTCTCTCAGTCCAGATGAGCTGCGTATCAGTAATAATCCCCGTCCATACTAACAAACCTGAAAACAGCAGAAGTCATGCACACTGGTGTGCCAGTGTAAATAGTAAGCAGATTGTTTAACAAGTAGTGATTGAATTTTATGCACCGACACCGAGGTGGAGCTGGTTATGTTTTTACCTGCTGTGTTGAGGTTTTATTCCTTGTGGAGTAAAATTTCTTGACTGTTAAAATAATGGAGGAAAACACGAGCATCCATAAAAAAGAACTGATTTATATATTAAATTATATTCTGAAATATAACTTCTAAAATAATGAGATTAAATCAGCAGGTTGCATTAAAGAAGTAAGTAAAGGAAGAAATGACGATCAGCTTTCTCATATAAGATATGATGACTCAACTATATGTTGAAATATATGACAAGTTCTACAGCTGCCTCTGATGTTAAACCAACCTTGAAATGAAATCTCAAATTCAAGAAGTTTAAAAGGGATAATAAAGGTTCCACTACTGTTGGATAATGTATCATACAGTACATCTTTATTGATTCACCCTCAGTGATAATAACACTTGTACATGCTGCCATATGGATTTTATCAAAGCGTCTTCTCACAGCGATAATGTCTCTGTATGTGGAGCCATTGTGTTTCTCAATGTTACACCCTTTTTCTGTGTCTGGCAGCGTCTCTCCGCGCAGAGCTGAACCACCTCCACGCTACGGCCATCGAGCATGTAAAGCAGATTCACCTCAAAGAAAACAGCGTTGCCAAACGGGAGCTAGAGAAGGCCATGGAGCACAGCCACCAGCAGGTAACTCTGAACATCTCTTTATTCTTCTCTTTGGCATCTTTATCACGTACAACTGATTTTTTTCTCAGTCATTTTCTCTCCATGTCTTTTTTCTCCAGGAACAAGAGCTCCTGGTCCGCATGTCAGACCTACAGTCGGAGGTGTGTTCCCGTAGCAACCGCATCACCGATCTGGACCACGAGATCCATTCTCTGAACGAGACCATCGACACTCTGACCAGAGAGCTGGAGCTGAAGGGCAAAGAGGTTCTGCGGGTCCGCAGCGAAGCGAACCATCAGATTAGGTACGTCACATTCAATAAATCACACGTGTTTATCGTATGTGAAACATTCCCATTCATGTTGCTGCTATTATCGACTGTGCAGAACTAAACTGTGACTCAACAGTAACTGACCCAGTTTTTGCAGAAACCTCATCTTCATATGACTCAGATCATGTAGGAATAACCATCTGAACATCTAACGATTCAAAGCAGCATCTTGGGAAGTGTTCATCCTTTGAAAATCATTGTTTCTGATCAGCACACACATTTTATTCAACCTAAGTATATGTGTTATACAGATGTTTACTGTTACACTGTATTTCTGGACTCAGAATAGTCTAAATCCAAGCATCAGAAATACTTTGACTTTAATTCCTAGTATGTGTGAAGCCACAGAAACACAGATCCTACCCTACCCATAATGCAACTCGTCTGTATCATTCATTAGACTGTCCCTGTCAGGAAAACACACATGACCGTGTCCCAATTCAGGGGCTCCATCCTCCGGGGCATGGGCTCTGTGCAGTATGTGAATGCAACACACTCGTCACTACTTCCTTACACTCTGATTACATGAAGAGTTTTGCATTAACACATTAGTCATGGGCACCATTTCGTTTGCGGAGAGCTGCACACGTCCCCGGTGCTCTCCGCTCCGAGCTGAGCTTTGCTAGCAGCTTGTTGTCATCTATAATTTAGTGAAAAAATGGCGTTAATCTCACAGTTCCCAACCAGGAAATTAAATGTATGAGTGAGTAATGTCCATGATGAGACACTTGTGCGTGTAAAGCCCCTAAAGGCACATAAATGATTGTGTATGTGTCGGGAAGAAACAGAAATGGTGGAAAACATACTTTTAAAAATCTTTTATATGACTGGGAGAAGTAATAGAAGAACATTTTTTGTTATATTCTGAAAGTCTGGCAGGACATTACAGTCGAGCTAGTTATTGGGACAGGCTGTATGAGTTTTGTCCGTCTACTCTGCAGGGCCCACGAACAAGACTTTGCAAAGAGACACGAGAGGGAGCTGGGGGAGCTGAGCATCCTCCATCACAGAGAAACACAAATCATGCTGGCCGACTTCAACAAGGCCCAGGAGGTGCTGAAAGACAAGATTACTGCTCTGCAAATACTGTAAGTGGAGGAAACGTGTGTTAAAATCTCACAGGCTGCATCTTTACACATTCTCATATCTGAATCTTTGTCTGTCTTTGCTGCTTTCTTTATGAATCGTGTCTGCGTGTGCAGGTTGGAGGGGACGGAGGAGAAGCTGAGGAACAGAGAGAGTCGACCGGAGGACCTGCATCTCATAGCAGAGCTCAGAGAGATGGTCACCGAGAGAGAAGCTCTGGTTAAAAAGCTGGTGGTGAGTCGGCCTGTTTCTAGATTGGGTTTAGTTAACTGGAGAATAAATTGTCTGTATGTGCGAATGTGGTTGTTTGTTCGATAATCCTCAACATCTCAGTCTCCTTCACTGGATGAGAATGTGCAAGATGGCAGCGTTCGTAGCCTGGGATATTTTGGTCTTTAGTCTATGGTCTCACTCTGCAATGAAACAATTGTCCTCCGTCCCATGTTTCTGTCTTTTTACAGGATGATAAGAAGTTCTACCAGCTGGAGCTGGTCAACAGAGAGACGGGCTTCAACAAGGTGTTCAACTCCAGTGCCAACGTCGGTGTCATCAACCCACTAATCAAGGTGAGGGCTCTCGTTTCCCTCTCAGAGTGAGCGGCTTAGATATCGAAATGAAATGTGGGCGATTGTGACACCCACTGTGTTTTCTGAGAGTCATGGATACGACTCAGCACAGAGTGAGTGGGTGTTTTATTATGAATACTCTCGTCCTGCTCTAAAAGCACAAGTTACAGTTTTATACGCACAACGTACAATAGAATGTAAAACCACATACGCACACAGCTAATACACACTCTCAGACCAACACACCCAGTTTGTGTTTGAGGAGCAGCACATCATTCATAGATAAACTGCTTAAAAAGCGAGCACAACCTTATTAGGTCTTTGTTTTCCGCCACAGTATTCCGCTGCCAATAAAATGATTGATCAGTAATAAAGGTAGCTGCAATTTTTCATTTACAACCATGCAGCACGGAGCAAGGACGGCTAATGACTACAGGACTTTCAAAGCCATCCGATCAATTCACACCACGCTGCAGGATCGCTACTAAATCTTCACCCTGTAGTTGTTTCGATATTTTCGGCGAGTTTCAAAATTGTGCAACGAGGCAGAAGACATACGAGCTGTGCCTAAAAGAATCCTACACCCACCCTCCAGGTTTTGGGGCTTATGGGAAACTGGTGAAGCAGATCACGGAAATCCTACATAGACCACATTGTCTTATTTAAGTCGCAGATTTTTATTGACATACTGCAGCTGCCTCACACCGTAAGAAGAGAGCTTGATTTCACTTTGTGTTTTCTGGTACTTTTACATCTTTTGTCCGAGCACAATGAGTCACCAAAGCACAAAATCACCATGTTCTTCCTGAGGAGCTGAACATCGTGCTCCGTCTCACCGCAGGTTTTTCAATAAAGGACTGATCTCTGTGTGTGAAGCCGCACAGCTGTCAGACCAGATGTTGATCCCTGGAGTTGCTCAGAAACAACAATGTTTGATTTCAGCATCACTCCTCCTCGTGTGTTCCTCACTGTGGGTTCTGGGTATTAGATACCCGTCCTTCAGTCCCTCACTCACCTCTAAGCTCCGGTGTGTAGGATTGTGCGACAACATCCCATCGGGGGATAATGACAAGTCATCGTAGGCCCATTTCTGCTTCCACACATTTTTCTGGACTAGAGTTGCAATCGTGGACGCCTTGTTTCATTTTTTATAGTTTCCATCTCTTCTAACTTTCTACACTTACAAAGCCCACAGCAAATCTTAATCTTAACAGTTTCCCTGTGATACCGAATCCCCCTCCCCAACCCTGCCTTTCTGTGTGTCTTTAGTTAAAAACAGGCAGCCAATCAGAACACCGTCTCGCCAGCTTCCCTAACCAGTCAGCTCTCCGATTCATCAGCCCCCCCACCGTGACTCGTGAAGGACAGGGCGAGGAGGTGGAGGAGGTAGGATCAGGAGGAGGGTTTGCGCCTCCGCTCTCCCCCCTCCGGCGGTCCCTCCCCCGATTTAGGAAAGCCCCACCACTGTTCAACTCTCTTCCTCCTCTTCCTCAGCATCATCCCCCTCTTCCTCCTCCTCCTCCTCCCTATCCTCATCCTCCGCATCATCTCGCTCCTCCTCATCCTCAGGGAGCCCCGGGGCAGCAGAGCTTTAGGAGGTGAGAACCAACATGATTTAAATCCACTGCTGCCCTCAGCTCACCGTCACTAACTCAGGGAGTGACTTACTGGATGCCTGCTGCCTCCACTGCCTCTCCCTTCACCCCTCAGTTTGTCCCCCCTCTCTCCTCACCCCTCTCCCCCAATCCCGAACGAAGACTGATATTTATAACCCACCTCTGATATTACAGACGTTTATATTTTTCCTACTCCTGCATCATCTGCATCCAAAGGTAGCTGTGGTGGCAGCCACTTACTGGGTCGACTATTCATCACAGAGATATACAGAAGCAGATTAATGTCGTGAAAGGATGTAAATCTGCTGAGATCCTGAACTTAATGAAACTAGAGTAGAACCTGGATTACATGCTGCATCATTTTCTGGGCTTTGGTTTTTGGTGTCGTCATGACATCAAATAAACTAAATGAAATCGCATAGCACCGAAAAGAAAAGCAGAGGTGTGGTTCTGTCCGCCGCTTTAACCTCTCTCTCTTTAAAATCTATCTGATCTGTTTGGAAGCAAAACAAAAAAGAAGACGCGCTTTGTTTTTATCTTTTGCAGAGATGAAGCATGAGACAAAACTAAATTCTTTGTGCTGTTTGGGATTTAAAGGCCTTAATGTTCTATTCAAGCCTCAGTCGATACTAAGCACCACATTGATCAGTTCATTTCACACAAGGCTGCAGTTTTGCTCCATTAGTCAGCAGAAAAAAATAATGTATAATCCCTTTTTGATGCATTATGCCTTAACATCTTATTTCCCATCACAGACAGAATCTTGTTTGGAATATACTGCAAATCTTCTCTTTCTGCTTCGTGTCGCGATCCTTGAATCTTGGCTTGTTTAAATCAGTCTCAGTCTTTTCACTTTGAGTGAAGCAAAGAAGAAAAAAACAGGCAGATTTGAAAGAGTTGCAGCAACTTGCGAGATAACGCTGTTGTGCTATTGTTCTGCCAGCAAGAAGCGGTGGATGCACAGAGGCGATGAAGGAGCGCGAAGCAGTTTGCTGCACACGCTGATTACAAAACCCAGAAAGCACTGGGAGGTCTGACGCTGGAGGGGGAAGCAGCTGGACCAGAGCTAGTTTCAAAATTTAAAATGAGAGCAGGGAAAGTTTAAGTCTTTGTCCTCAGTTTTTTATTTATCCTAATTGTTTAAATTCTGGTCATTTATGTTATTTTTATCTTTGTTTGAATGTGGCACTTTGTCTTAACACCGGCGACACCCAGTGGCAGGAGGCGTCATGTTTTCCAGGTGTCAGTGCGTCCGTCCCATTCTTGTGACCTCGATATCTTAAAAACTCCTTGATGCACTTTCATGAAATTTAGTACAAACATTAGGCCTGACTGACAGATGGACTGATAAGAATTTGGCGGTTGCAGGTCAAAGGTAAAGGTCACTGCCTCACATCTTATTACATGTTATCTCACATTCTACTTTGCTCTATCTTGAATGGTGGAATGCAACATGGAAATCTGTGTGTGTATCAACCATGTGATAGACTGGTCCCAGCCTACAGTGTAACCTGATTAGAACCCTGTGACTCCACGCTGGATAAGTGGGAATAAATAATGGAGGATAGGAGTTTGCTTGTGTTTTTTAGGTGGCTGTCCCTCAGGTGGAGCTCCTCCTTCACCAGTGTGATATAAATGTAAAATTTCCACTTCTTGCATGGACTGTGCTCCACCCACAGGACCTCCCTGGATCCACTGCGGCACGGTTGCATGCGAGGGAATGCCACTGTTATTTTCAGTTCAAACACACTTTGTATTTACCGACTGCCTCTTGGTGAATTTCTGTTTGACTCTCCCTTCTCCTCATTCTAATGTTTTTTTAATGTTTGTCTTCCCTCCCTCAGCCTTCCTGAGGCCAACGCTGCGACACCATCAGACCCGAGGCAGACAGAGGCAGGGGAGAGCAAAGAACATGATGCAAAAGAAGAGGAGCCTCAGTACTTCACTTTCTGACCGGGAAAAAAACCCCAATCCTGTCAAAAAAACTAAAAAACAAAGCAGAGTAATGGGACAGAGAGCTAAAGCTGGACAGCGATCAAACTGCAGGTTTTGAAAGTCATTTTGAATGATATTCTTTTTTGAAGAATGCAGCTGCAGCACTGGGGTTCCAGTAAAAAAGTGGATATCGGAAATAGTTTTAAGTTATTTATCTCTCATCTGCAGTTCTGCAGAACAAACACCATTCTTCCGTGACCCATGTCACATCCTTCAAAGTTTTGCGGTAAATCGTCCTGCAGTTTTTCCTAAATCCTGCTAACTAACTAACAAACAAGGAAACGCAGATTGGCAGGGGTAATAAAAATAAAAGTAAAACCATAGTTTAAATACAACTGCGTCTGTAGTTTTTTCAAACTTCCATACCATATTCTGGCCCCGTGTATCACAAACTGCAGTGCTGCATGTGTGTATTTCTTCTTGCGAGCTGTTGACTGACTGGACGTGCTCTCAACGTTCAACCAGGACAAACTGATTTTTGCCTTGATAATTGCCTTTATTGATTTCTGGTTGTTTTTCCCGTCCGCAGTGCGTTGAATTACAGTACACCACAATAACGACACCAGCAACAACAAAAACAACCAACTTTAGCTTCCTGTCCCGGAGCTTTGACTGTGTACATATGGTAAATGTTAAAAGTCATTTCCAAATCTCTTGAGCTAGCTGAGGGGCGCTTGATTTACCATCCGAGTCTCTCAAGAGGAGAAACATCAAGATGATACGAATCAAGCACCCCTCGTATTTTTATTAATATAGTATTTATAATTTAACAAGCTACTGTTTTTCTACGGTCTGCTTGAGATGCCAGTGGACCAGGGACATACACAGGAGAAGTTCTGTCAGCGACATGCAACTCCTAGCAACTTTTTTAAAGCCAAGGAGGGTTTAATCAATAATTTCATTACAAGCTAGGAGTTCATGTCGGTGACGGAGTGCTTCCTGCTGCGTGTCTCTGCCTGTGGGGCAGACCTTAGAGCATGTGAAAACAGAAACACTATCATAATGCTGCTGTCACTCACTTGAATCTTCATATCTTTTTGGTGTACCGTCTGTTTTTTAACTCGACTCTAAAGTTTACATCGTTCTTGTGTAGAGTAGTTCTCATGACCCGAGGGTCCGTGAAGTCCATTCGGTAACCTGTACAGTTTCCAGACTGCATGGTCGTCACCAGCCTGAAGAAGAGGCTCTTGTTTTTATTCCCTTTTTCAAACGTAGACAGACGAGACGTCAGGTTTTGGGAGTTTGACCTCCTCTCACCCGTTCAGTCACCTTATACAGCATCAATCATGCTCGTCTTCCATAACAGAAGCAACTGAGGTTCAGGAAGTGTTTGTACTTTACTTATTTGCGTTAATGAATCAGACAGTATTGTACACTCAGCTGCTCATGGTGCAGTCCCATATGGGTAAAGAAAGTGAAAGAAAAATTCCTGGATCTCTACCAAATGTAATGTGCTGTCCAATGAAAACACAAGCTGCATGGCAGAGGTAACAAAAATCTGACCACTGTGTTCTGTTTTTCTAAACACTTTTTATATTTTGTGTTTATCTTTAAATATATATTTATACTTTTTCCCCTCAAATCCCTCTCGTGGGTAAGGATGGAAATGCGCCATGTTTCTAAACTGTCAAAGTGAAGAGTAAAACACTTCCTGAAACCAGGTTTAGACGTGACCTCTGCGTCCTGTGGGAAACACGGTAACATCGGATCGTAAATTCGGAAACACAGGCAACTCGATATATTGATTACACCCCGGTCTACAGAATAAACATATATACAGAAAACTCTGTACATGGATATCCTAACGTCCAACTGACATGAATGCAGCACCATGACGTTGAAGCTATATTGAAATTAAATGGTGTGTTTTGTAAATATTGACCTGAAATGTGACAAACCCGGGAAAGAGACGAGGGAGCGGGATCCTCTCCGGAGATCGTCCCGACACTGAACCGCAGTTGGTTCACTCCTCCATGCACACTGTGACGATTATATTTATTTGATTGACATTTTAAGCTGCGGCATCTGCCCCAACGCAGACGTCTTTCTTCCATTTTATTTTTACAATTTTCTTAGGATCACATCTGATTTTACTGCCCTGCGTTTATTTCCCCACTGATGATTTCACACACTTGCCTTCTAAAAACAAGTTTCAATGCACTTGACATTGGATACTCCAACACAAGGGTGACACTGTTTCCCCAGCTGAGAGTAAGAAGCACATTCTGGGTGACTTCCCTTTTTTTTAACTGTGATAGTATAAGGACCATTCCAATGTTTTTCTGCATGAGGAAATCCGCATGATGCCAAAGTTAGTGTGTTTTGAACATGTTTTTTTTCTGCCTTTTCATATTTCCACTGTCTTGTAGCTTAAAATAGGTAACTAATATTTTCAATATCTGCTTTTCAACTGTTTTTTATTGACAGTCTCATCCCATCATCCTCATCATGGAGTCGTAGATGTTCACATTTTGATTGATTGGTTTTTCTGTGAGATTGTCTGTACCTCAGCTGGGGTAAATGGATGAGTACACATGTCAAAAACACTGGAGTGGTCCTTAAGTTTTGCTTATGTGTTAAAAACAGCAAAAATGAAATATATTTATTTGTTTATCTGTGTATGTTTGTTTTTGCTTTCCTACATAATTGTTTCTGTCTTCTTGTTTTTTGTGTTTTGCTGGGAGTTTATTTTGTTTTCCCCTCAATTTATTTATCTGTCCGTCATCTCACCAGACTGTTGTTTTAAATGATCACTTGACCTTTTGTCCATCATCATTCCATTGTCATGACCTTTTTAAGATAAATGTGACATACATAAGAACTCGTGTTTCTCTACATCTGACAGAAGAAACTTCTGGAGTGTTTTTATTTATTTTTTACACAGCACTGACATCAGATGACCATCAGTGAACCACAGGAACTGCAACTTATTAAAACATTAAATGTCTGTTGAGATGATTTTTTTTTAATGTGACGATATACAGACCAGGGCTCAATTCATTGCACTCTCAACTCGGTTTTTACAAAAATTGCGGAAAAGAAAAAACAAACTGAAATGGAAAGATAGAAAAGTGTTTTGCAGTTTGTGTCATGAACTGAGTTGAAAGTGACTGGATGTCACCCTTGTGACTTATCATCGAATGATGTCTGTCTTGCCATTTTTGAATTCAATATATGAGAATTATAACAATGACAATATTTATTTATATTTGTATAATTTCTGTTGTATGTTATGGAAACAGTAAAATTATGATTGTGAGCTAAAGCGTACTGTTGCACTTCTTAAGTGTGTGTGTGTGTGTGTGTTCTGTTCAGACACATGAATTAGAAAATCAATAAATCAAAAGATTTGAAATTGAGACGCTTTTAAATGTTACGATCTGGTGACACAGATTTAAGATTTGGAAAAATATTTTTCTTGTCTAATATATTTTCTAACTAAACTAAAATCCCATCTGCATAAATGGAAACTCTGTTATTTAGCATTCAGATAATAAGTCGATTCAATTCTAAATCCTACAAAATAGATTTTCTTTTTATATTTTCAGATTCCTATTTTATATTTTATTTAACTTTTAGTAATGACCCCAACATTAAGATGAATTATTAGCTTCTTTTATTTGTTCCATGTTTCTGCTGGGCACTGTTGTTGTTGTAATCTCTGTCGTGACTAATAAAGAATTTGAAAAATAAAAAAAATGACAACAGTGAAGCTAAAGTAAACAACTCAAACAAAATGGCGACAATATGAGTGAGTTTGCTTCTAACGCGACTGAAGGAGGATTTAAAATGTTGAATTGTTGAAGACTGAAAGATATTTGAGCTGCTGAGTAAGTTCTGGAGCATCTTTCTTTGTTTTAAGCCACGTGTTGCCAGATAGAATACATGATTTGAACGAGTAGGTGTTCAAATAAATAACAGAAGGAAATAGAATCAGTAAAACAAAGTAAAAGAAAGCAGCACTTTAACTTTAATCTGTAAAACAAAGTAAAATAAGTCAGCAATTTAACTTTTAACACCAGCTTCACCAGAAATTCACTCCTTTAGCTTAGCTTAGCTTAGCTGCTAATTGCTACTGGTGCTAGCTTTGATTGTGTGTTTTTGTTTTCTCAGCTGCTGACTCAATTTCACTATGTTTGTGATTAACAATCTGCACAGGCTGATCAATACAAGACAAGGCTAAATGATCTAAAAATGTAAAACTGGGATCTCCAGTAAACAAAAGGGACCAACACTTTAATTTGTCTTCATGCAGTTTATTTGGTGGTTCGTCATTTAAAAGTCAGGTGGTACAATCTTCCAAACACATAAATACATTTAAAATGACCCTTGTGGAGTTCATAATGCACTTCAGATTCAGGAATCGTATTTCACAGATTACTTTCTACACCTTTGCTGCAACAATCAGGGCACTTGTGCTGTAATTAACCCCCAAACATGCCACTCAGAAACAGAATAAATAGCGAGTGATATCACACCATGCAAAGTGAGGTTACCCTCGTGGATAAACAGGCCTGAAATCAGAAATACATGTAGGTACTCAGTCTATACCTCAAATATCATTTCTCAGTGTTATATGCTTCAATTTCTAAATAAGCACGACTCTCAAATTACGCAACGTACATTCAACAGATGGGTCGAGTTGGAGATCCATTTCCCACTGCCTTCTCTAAAGCCGTTAATAAAAGGGGATACATTTCATAATAATTTGTGTCCCATTTCAGAATTCTCTTTCAATGATATCATCTTTTCCAGCAGATAACTCTGCCTCTGGATAATTTAATTGGTTCATGTCAAAGCCACAATCTCTAACTGTTTCAACTTTGTTTCAGAGAAGTCAGGCTTTATGGGGGTTTTTGTTGTTCGGCAGTGCAGATGGCTCCGAACTCAACAACACCCATGAGTCATGGCGGCTGTTGCTTCACGAAGAGGTGCGAATCAGAGCAGCGACAAATTAACAACAAAGGTACTGATTTTATCCAAAAACAAGCTGCGAGTTGTATAATAAATTATATAGTAAGTTTTCTTAACAGTGTGATATTAACCTCTCCTGTGTGAAATGCACACTGGGAGTCATAGTTCACGTATGATCTTGTGTAGATGCAGTATGTTAAACTTTCAGTTTCATGTCCCTCCACACACTATAGTCCTGCTCCAGTTGTAAAATGACTCTGTTTTTAAAACAGAGAAACTTAGTATCACTGCATCCATGTCTTTCTACGGTCTAACAGTGGAGGTGTTGGTTGCAGGAAGCAATAAGGGATCATGGGAAGTGGACGTTAAACAAAAGTGATGTATTGATATTTCAGTATCACACACATTGCACATATTATTACTGGAGACATTGTCGTACAGGATGTCTTGTCATATTGCTTTCCCATGGAGGCTGGTGATCTCTGTTATCAAACAGAGTTGGGCTGATACAAAGGGGGGGGACATTATTGCTTTCGTAGAAATCTGATGTGTGTGTGTATGAGTAAAACCCAAGTATCATCTGAAGCCGTTTCCACAGTACAACCTCGCCGAACTCTCTCTCTGTGGCTCCGTCTCTCTCAGCTGCTCAGCAGGACGATGATGTAAATGAGGAGCAGACAGATGAGGATGAGGGTGAAGTTGACGAACAGCTCCTGCAGGTTCCTCTTGGCCTGCGGGGTCACCTCGATCTGAGATGCTCGGCGGATGGCCGACTTGGTCATGTGCTGCACGCGCTCCATGGTGACGGTGGACCGGTTAGATTTTGATGGGCGTGGATGAAGAGAGGGGAGAATTCAGTCAGGCTGCCGGGCCTGTTCCCGCTGAGTGGAGAGTTACTGAGGCTGGACAGACTGGTGAAATCAGGAGGTCTGAAGGTGAGAGCTTCTCTTCTCTCTTCTCTCTTTTCTCTTCTCTTCTCTTGTCTTCTCTTCTTTGCTGTTGATAAAGAGAGGAGGGAGAGAAGAAAAAGATCATCGACAGTTAAGAAAAACAATCACAGCTCATGGTTTGGCTCAGTTTCGTTTTCTCTCCATACACCAGCACCCTCCCACGGGGGGGATCGCTCTCGTGTGACCTTTTCTGGGGGGTGATGATTCTCTAATCATGCTGGGATGTGTGGGCTGAGGCCTGCTGAAGTGTTTAACCACAATCTAGTGGGAGTGGTGGCAACACAAATGTTACAACAACAATGTGAAAGACAACTTGAAAAACACTAACTGAACTGTGTGAGGTATTTGTGATGTACTTCATATGTTTATTAGGATCCTGTCATATTTCGGCTGCATATGAGAAAAGGTTTCAATTGTTTTCATATAATCTGGTAACACACATACAGATGAATCTTTTCTTAACACAATTGACCTCCATGGAATATTATCAACAAGTTTGATGCAAAACTGACTTTTGATTTGTGTGATAAGGAACATGTTGTTTCTTTTATAGATTCTTTGTAGTCGTTTTCTTCTGTTAATTTGACAAAGAGCATGTGATGTGGGACTTTCCTGGGATCAAAGTCGTTGTGACAAGATCAACATGTTCGCTCCCACAAACACAGAATTTCTCAGCACTATTCTATTTGGGGCAAGATTAAAAGTCCTGCTATAGCGGCCCCTGCTGGGTCAATTGTTCATTACAGCCCTAGACACTGAGCCTTGTAACTGGACTGCTGTTGTGGTGGTAATGAAGTGTTCACTTTACTAAATCCTAATCCTTACGTTACAGGATTCGATTATCTAGCGCTGTGCAGAGATTCTCTTGCTGCCACCATCCAGTGTCATTAGACAAAGTGCAGCTTCCGAGTACTAAGTCAGTTTCCTCTCACCTCTCAGCAGCTTATGCTGGATGCTAAATAATAAAGCTCCCTAATCCCTGGTATGTTGTGAGGCCCCTGTCCAGCTCCTGGCCCCTGAATCTTTTTTAGGTCAAATGTCCTCCACTTATTCTTATCTTTCCCTCTTCCTTCCTTTACTTGTTGTGTTCAGTGAGAAATGAGCCTCGTCAAACCAGTAGTCACACCTCAGGGTTAAAGTGCCCCCCCACGCTATCCTCACGCACTTCTGCACAAATCAGCCTCGTCATTATGAACTGAGTGCTGACAGTCAACCATTCCATGCTGAGAATTATGTCGACAGAAAATGCAAGTAATCCCCATTGTGTTGACAGCAAATTTACCCATGATTCCCTTGTTCCCATGTTGTCTGGCGCAAACATAGTGCACAAATTGATTTAGATTTGTTTCTGGCCACAATATCAACACTGACCATAATGATACTTTTCTTAAAAGAGTTTCTCTACCTCGCTCGCTCCCTCGTGTGGACTCACACATACACAAACACGTCTAACTAGGTAAAAACAACATAATTTGGTCCTCAACAACACAAATGACTTATGTGATGATTTGTATAAAGGACGGGGAGGTGAGATCTGATCACAAGTGGTCACAAGAGACACTTTCAGAATGCATTTGAATGCTTCGTGTGAACAGACGAGCTTAACACTCAGCTCTCAGGACGGATGTCTGAACGAGGCCTCAGATGAAACACAGGCTGCTTGAGACTCAGCGTTGAATCTAATTGTCCTTGTTGGCACATTAACTAATAATTCAAAAAGATTAATTAAGCTGAAGTCTTACAGTTATCGTGACTGCAAACGTCAAACCCTCGCAGCGTCCCAGCATTGATCCCTAGACCCCCATAGAGGCTTTGATTAAATCCGAAAGATGACGAACAAGGTAGACTAAAGAATCACATCTCTGCTGCACATTTCCCCCCTGATGTTTTTCAAAGCTTTACTTTTTATTTCCTGTAAATTACTGGAGAGTTTTCACCCTTGAGGCCTCTGATGATGGAGTCGCTTGCATATAAAGACTCACAAGCCAATAAGTTAATTGCCTTTAGGGTAGTTATGAGAATTACTGATCCATTCAGGAGATATTAAGCATGTTTAATTAACAGCTGTTTCTCTACGACAGTCCTCCTCTCATGTAGATTTATTCAAAACAATAACAGGAATGTTTTCTTGAACTAAATTAAGCTTTTGCCATCCTGAACACAGTGAGAATGATTTACTGCTGCACTTTATCTTCCTTGGCATTGAGAAAAATTATAAGGAAAACACTGAATATAGATTTCAAATGATTTGATAGTTACAGTTTGCTTCTTTTGTTTATCTCAGTATTTTCCTCTTTTTTTAATTCAATGAGTTGAACTGAACTTCAGCGTCCGTGTTTCACCATGTGAAGGCTTAAGCTTTGCCTGTAAAGCAGGTTTTATTTTTAGATGTTTATGACTGTTAGAGCAGAGTTAACTCCTGGGTTCTGTTGAAAGGACCATGTTGTACTTGTATAAACACAATCATCTGTTGTTGGCCATTGGTGCCAACAGCTAAATACCTTCAGTGTGACCAACAGAGTGGGAGTGACGTTGGATATGAAAGTTACTTTATGTTTCATCTGAGAAGTAAATACTGAAATACTGAAATGTTTCCATCAGAAAAAAGGGTGTGTGTGTGTGTGT